ACATGATAACTTAATTTCCTGCTGGACACCAAGAAACATAGCACAATAGCTTTTACATAATACAATTAACACAATAGCTGTCATCCAACTCAACATTTTACATAATAACTCAACATTAACACAATGTACCCCCATTATCATTTTAAAGTTTGTGATCAGTCCCATAGTCTGTGGGCAGTAGGTTAGCTGTTATGCCTCTCCAGAAGGCTGTGGCACGAGAGCTTCCGTGACATATCTTCCCCTCAAAGAGTAGACTAACCAGACCTCCAAACATTCTGAGTTGGTCGGATAACCAGTCCTAAAAAGTAAATCCACACTTGTAGCCTCCTAAACAACGCTCCATCTTGGTAGTTCTCTGTTTCACTGTGGGGAATGTCCGCCAACTCCTGTTTCTCCTGGTAGCTCTGACTGCCACTGGGGAGACAGACTGGTTGTATCCTCTCCCTGTAACAAGCACTGCCGCTGGGGAGAGGGACTGACTGTCTCTACTCCCTCCACTGTACACTGCAGCTGGGGAGAGAGACCAGTTGTCTCCTCTCTCTGTAACAAGCACTGCCGCTGGGGAGGGGAACTGACTGTCTCCAGTCCCAGTAACTCTGACTGCTGTTGAATAGGGGAACCAACTGTCTCCAATCCCGGCTGCTCCAGCTGCTGCTCCAGGGGAGGTACACCGACCATCTAGACTCCCATTAACTCCTGCTGCTGTTGTCTCCGCTACATGCACTGTACATTGCCACTGGGGAGAGAGACCAGTTGTCTTCTCTCCCTGTAACAAACACTGCCGCTGAGGAGTGAGACCGGTTGTCTCCACTCCCTGCAACACATCCTGCTGCTGTGGAGTGGGGGAACTGTTCTCCCCTCTCTGGAACTCACTTTGCCGATGCTGTACAGAGTTGATTAGTCACTGGTAGTCCTGCTCGAGCTCCCATTCCTGGTTGGCTATGTAGTTCAGATCAGATACCAGGTCTGTTGCTGCTACGAGTTCCAGCAGGTCAACATAGTCCTCACCCTCCGGAGGGTTGTCATCTGTGAGCCACGGGTACTGCTGGACCTCAAGGCCTGGTAACCATCATCCAGACACAGGTCTCTCCAGTTCAGTTACCCATTCTTCCAGGAATACTGCCAGTGGCTTCCGCTAGGCTTATGGCAAGATCTTCAGCTCTCTCTTTCTCCGCCTCCACCATAATCCAATCAAACCACCTCAGGTGACGGGTTTGGGCCATAGAAAGCCAGGCATTCTCTTACCCTCTGTGAGAGCACACAGAGCTGTTATGCCTCCCCAGCAAGCTGTGGCACAGGAGCTTCCGTGACAGTATGAAAGGCCTTTTTCTTCTGGCCTCGGTTTGCAAGCTTTGCTTATTTTTTTTTTTTATAAACTTTATTTTAAGAAATTATTTTTTGAATCCCTTTTTAAAAAGTCTGTATATTGTGAAAAGCCTCCTAAAAGTAAATACTAGTCCAACTGTAATTTATTTAATATATAATTTGTGATCACTTTATTGTGTACAACTTAAAACCTATTTATTTTAGAAAAATGTTGCCTGAGAGGGGATATGATAACATTATACAAATATATTCGGGGCCAATACAAACCATTGTGTGGAAATCTATTCACAAACCGGACTTTACATAGGAAACGAGGTCATGCGTTTAGACTGGAAGAAAGATGATTTCGTCTAAGGCAAAGGAAAGGTTTTTTTACTGTAACAACAATAAGGATGTGGAGTTCTCTGCCTGAAGAAGTGGTTTTATCAGAGTCCATACAGATGTTCAAACAGCTACTAGATGCATACTTGCAAAAACAGAATATTCAAGGATATAATCTTTCAATGTAGGTTAATAACTGCTTGATCCAAGGATAAATCTGACTGCCATTCTGGGGTCAAGAAGGAATTTGTTTCCTAGCTTGTTGCAAAATTGTGCTTCAAATTGGGTTTTTTGCCTTCTTTTGGATCAACAGCAAAAAACAAATGAGGAAGGCTGAACTTGATGGACGCAAGTCTCTTTTCAGCTATGTAACTATGTAACTATGTAACTTTCTAATACTTTGTAGAACTCCCTTTTGTTGACGGAATAGCCTACAATAGTTTGGAATAGTGCTGGACTTTAAATTGCACCTTACTCCAAGAACCTAAGGTGCCTTGTTGGATTGCGATTTGGTAGCTGTGGATGCAGTTTTAGTAAATGGAACTCATTGTCATGTTTGTGGAGTCAGCATGAGGTCATGTGTGATTTGTGATATTGCAATACAATTTATGATATTGCCTTTAGTGTATGAGTAGTGGCAGAAATGATTCAGAAATAGTTGATAAACAGCTATCTCATGTTCTGTTCTGACCTTAACAGAAAATACTATCTACATTAACTAATGAATTTACTTTTTTGAATGAATTTATTTTTCAGAAGGATGCAATGGAGAGCATTACCACTACATTTGCAGATAAGTACCTAGCACATGTTGGCATTGCCAACATTATGAAAAGAGGGATACGTAGGCCCTATATAATTTGTGCCTCTTGAATAGTTTTCTTTTATAATTCCATGCAATTTGCACATTTGCTTATCTCCAGCCAAGCATTACTAAGTCAACAGAAGCCCTACGGAAACTTATGGCTTTTGGATGGCGTCACTTGGAGAAGACCGTTCCAACACAAGGAACTGATGACAGAAGAGGGAATTTACAATTTGCAATCTATAAAATTCAACTGTCGTGTCTGCATATTTTTTGCACAAGAAACATTGAAAGTATGTAATATGTATGTTTCAAGATACATATTGTTTCTTTTAAAGAGTATGGAAGGGTTTGGGCTTCAAGGCAGCATAAAATGTGTCAGTACTAAGGTAGAATAGTTTGTTGAGTTTTCATCTGTTTTAGAAAGAGTTAAGATCATGATCTACCAGCCCAGTAGCATTATAGCAGCTGTTGGGTGGGGCTACAGTATTGTGGCTCATTGAGCATTTGACACAAGGAACAGTCCAGGCCTGGACCTATGTAAGCAGAAAGCACAATAATTTAAAGAAGCTAATAAAACATCACAACTTTAAGACCTGTTACAGAATTAACTCTATCATTTTAAAGAGGTAACGTTTCTCCAATATAAAATACAAAATGTGCTTACAACTGATTTTAGAACAAAGCCAAAATGGGTTATTGCTTAAAGACAACATCCAACCACAAGTTTGTCACAGTCACCTCATATAAATACTTTGATATATCATTAGATCCCAATTTCTCTTTTTGCTCAGTAAATACAAATTGAAAGTAGTTGGCCATGCTGCATGGTCACAGATTTCTGGAGGACACATGATGCCTTCCAGTGGACTTTTCAGTACAAAAATCATTTAATTACATTAGTGATAAGCCAGTACTTATCTGGATTGAATTTGAAAGTTTCACCTGGATGTTCAATAGGGTTTTCAACCACTGTTCTACCATTGGCCTAGCAAAGATGAGAGAGAGAAGCAGCCATATTTCAGGACCCGCTGAAGTTAGTTCGGTTACAGGAATAAGATTTTCACCACATTTCCCCTGGAGGTAGTTATTCCAGTCTACATAGCTGCCATTTAAGCTTATTGAATGCCAAAACTGGCGGGAAATACCTACCAACCACATAATCCAAAATGGCTGGTATACATGGTCCTGAAATAAACCATATTTCTAGGAAACTTCAGGGGTATAAACAAGCCTGAATAAACATATTATTCAGTGTCTTGTGAGCTTTCTGGAGAAAGATCAAAAAGAAAAGTATTCAGATTGCATAAAAAAAGATTCAGATGTGATCCACAAGAGCCTGATGATCAGACACAGCAGAATGTAGATATTGGGTCATTGGACTGTTGCTGAACACTTCGAGAAAAGAGTCAGCCCTGCCCCATGTTTGCTGCAATGTAGTGTACTTGAGGAGTAAGGGTCTTCATTTATGAATTTTTATGTCTTACTTGAGTGCACGCATTTTGGGTCTCCCTCTATCATGGCAAACAGGTACTGGTGATACTAAATGTGTTTACATACCACCTTCCAATAGCTGGAACTGCTTAACAAATCTATGGTTAACAATGATGGCAGGACTTTAACCTTACATAATCTCCAATAGCAGTAGACAACAGTTAACAATTATCCTTTCTATTTCCCAGAATCTCGCAGGACTAGGTTTGGTGGGGTTAGCAACTTTGACTAGTAGCATTAGTTTTGATTCCAGATTACACTAGATAAAAAAAAAAAAAACTAAAAAAAAAATAATAAACTGAATAATTCTAGAATTCATGTCAACTCATTCAGTTTTAACCTTTGTGCCTAGCCCATAACCACTCCTCTTAAAACTTCCACAGCACTATAGCTACATGCTGTTAATTGTCTCCATCACTGCCTACACTGTAGCTTCAACCATACAATGAAAAACAAAGTAGGTTGTGCAGCCTTCTTTTATAGAACTCTGTAAATGTGGAATAAGATTGCAGAAAATGTCAAATTGAATACCAATATAAAAGACACTGTTAAAGGGCATATTGTTGACAAAAATAGCAAGTTGTTGGCTTGTAGTAAAAGAAGCTGGATCTAATACATAGATTGCAACACTGAAAGAAATTAACAGTACCAAGGGGAGTTTTTTGTTGAGAGAGCAGCAAAAAATTAGCTACCCTTAGCATTTACATGGCTCAGGGCAAGACATGTGTTTACTGCACACAGCACTCTACACTTCTGTTGCAGTCCAGTGAAGAAATTAACTCTGGCAGTGAATGCAATAAGAAAAGTTTGATATGATCTGGAAAATGCTCCAACCTATTCCTGCACCATCTAGTTCAGGGACCCAGGCAACCATCTAGAGCAGTCCTGAAGTACCCCCTAGCAGTCCATGATTTAGGGATTACCCTTTTGTGTCTAAAGTTTTTTTTTTTTCTAAAAACTCCTTAGACACAATTGGGTAATCCCTATATCTTTGACTGTTAGGGGGTACTTGAGGACTGGGTTGGGAACCACTGATCCAGAGGAAACAGAGGCAATTGAAGGGAGACTGAATTGAGAGTGAAGAAATAACTACAGGGCCCAGGAGTGTGTGGTACCAAGGCTAAAAGCCTATCTTGTCTTTTCCTATAGGTGATAAACATGTGACTGAGTATGGTGTAGGAACGTAGGATATGGATTTTGGAATACAGGAGTTATTCAGTTTTGGCAGATTGATGGGTGAGCTCTGGGCTGGCTAATGTCAATTATGTGCAAATTTTATTTCTGAATATCTTTCTTTAAGTTTTTGTTAGAAAAATACAAATAACGTACACATCAACAAATTGGTCATAAAATGTGATCTGATCATCATCTAAGTCACAACAATAGACAATCACAGTCTGCTTAAACTAATAACACACAAAGAATGAAATGAATGAAAAGAATGAAATGTTTTTATTGAACACACCATGTAAGCATTCACAGTGCAGGTGGGAAAAGTATGTGAACCCTTGGATTTAATAACTGGTTGAACCTCCTTTGGCAGCAATAACTTCAACCAAACGTTTCCTGTAGTTGCAGATCAGACGTGCAAAACGGTCAGCAGTAATTCTTGACCATTCCTCTTTACAGAACTGTTTCAGTTCAGCAATATTTTTGGGATGTCTGGTGTGAATCACTTTCTTGAGGTCATGCCACAGCATCTCAATCGGGTTGCGGTCAGGACTCTGACTGGGCCACTTCAGAAGGCGTATTTTCTTCTGTTTAAGCCATTCTGTTGTTGATTTACTTCTATGCTTTGGGTCATTGTCCTGTTGCAACACCCATCTTCTGTTGAGCTTCAGCTGGTAAACAGATGGCCTTAAGTTCTCCTGCAAAATGTCTTGATAAACTTGGGAATTCATTTTTCCTTCGATGATAGCAATCCATCCAGGCCCTGACGCAGCAAAGCAGCCCCAAACCATGATGCCCCCACAACCATACTTCACAGTTGGGATGAGGTTTTGATGTTGGTGTGCTGTGCCTTTTTTTCGCCACACAAAGTGTTGTGTGTTTCTTCCAAACAACTCAACTTTGGTTTCATCTGTCCACAGAATATTTTGCTAGTACTGCTGTGGAACATCCAGGTGCTCTTGTGCAAACTGTAAAGGTGCAGCAATGTTTGGACAGCAGTGGCTTCCTCTGTGGTATCCTCCCATGAAATTCATTCTTGTTTAGTGTTTTACGTATTGTAGATTCGCTAACAGGGATGTTAGCATTTGCCAGTGACTTTTGCAAGTCTTTAGCTGACACTCTAGGATTCTTCTTCACCTCATTGAGCAGTCTGCGCTGTGCTCTTGCAGTCATCTTTACAGGACGGCCACTCCTAGGGAGAGTAGCAGCAGTGCTGAACTTTCTCCATTTATAGACAATTTGTATTACTGTGGACTGATGACCAGCAAGGCTTTTGGAGATACTTTTATAACCCTTTCCAGCTTTATGCAAGTCAACAATTCTTAATCGTAGGTCTTCTGAGAGCTCTTTTGTGCAAGGCATCATTCACATCAGGCAATGCTTCTTGTGAAAAGCAAACCCAGAACTGGTGTGTGTTTTTTATAGGGCAGGGCAGCTGTAACCAACACCTCCAATCTCATCTCATTGATTGGACTCCAGTTGGCTGACCTCTCATTCCAATTAGCTCTTGGAGATGTCATTAGTCTAGGGGTTCACATACTTTTTCCACCTGCACTGTGAATGTTTACATGATGTGTTCAATAAAAACATAGCAACATTTCATTCTTTGTGTGTTATTAGTTTAAGCAGACTATGATTGTCTATTGTTATGACTTAGATGATGATCAGATCACATTTTATGACCAATTTGTGCAGAAATCCATATCATTCCAAAGGGTTCACATACTTCTTCTTGCAACTGTACAGTACTCCTTTACACAAAATCAGACAATAACAATTACTCTGTGCAAATTTTAAAATGCTTTCAGATAATGAAGAGCAATTAATGTACGAACATGGGGGTCAATAACACAGACTTTTATTTGATATCATTATTAATTATTTAACTGGGGTAGTCATTTTAAAAAGTTTTTAAATATGTATATGAAGCATATGTATTGGAATTTTTTTCTAAAGCAGCCAACCCATTCATTGGGATCAGCTGCTAGAGTTTTAGATGGCATTAAATCCAGTCAAAATCAGTCAAGATCCAACAAAAATATTGGTCAAAACAAGTTAATAACTTTCAACTTCGTTTTGCCACTGGAATGTAATCAAAGCCATTGCTGTGAAAGCTGAGCAATGACATTTTCAATTTTTATTTGAAAAATGCATAAATTACATCTTACAAGTACTTTTAAACATGGCACTGTTTCCCACTTTAATTCTTGGTTTAGGGGGTACTTAGGTCTATAAAACTCTCTAGTTAAAATTATAGGTTACCTGCTATCAGATACACAGTAAGGATATTCACCTTCATACACTGCACTGATATTATGATTTGCATTGCCATTACAATATTACTGATGCCTTACACTATTGATTCACTGTTTTAACAGTGATATTTCTAAAAGTCGTTGAACCTGATGAGTTTGAATCAAATGAGACTAATTTTTGACAGAGTAATTTTAAAACTTCATACCTGTGACCTGTGACAGCTAATATATGAATACAAAATACAAATTCTCGATGATAAATATTTTTGTAGACGTTGAGGTAGAGCTAGGTATAGATAATTATTGGCTATTTTGGATATTATGTATTGATTGTCAGTGTTCTGCCACAGTGTAATACACATTCTCTGATATGTGAGCTGTATGTATTGTTCTTTATATTCACAACTATCAATATTATTTTGAGGAAAGCATTAGCAATCGTTGTATTATCTATCTCATTCAGAAATTTTTTTAGTGGTTTTCTTTTAGTCTTAACACTTAAGCTTAGCTGTTTGGTTTGATTGAATAACAGACATTAAAGTAAACATTGCCATAATTGTATTGATCAGCCACAAAATTAAAACCACCTGCATAATATTGTGTAGGTTTCCCTTGTGCTGCCAAAATAGCTATTATGCATCGATGCATGGACTCCACAAGACCTCCAAATGTCTCCTGTAGTATGTGGTACCATGACATTAGCAGCAGATCATTTAAGTCTTGCAAGTTGAGAGGCCTCCATGGATCGGATTTGTTGTTCCAGCACATCCCTCAGAAGCTCAGTCGAATTGATATCTGGGGAGGTTAAAGGCCAAGAAAACACTTTGAACTCTTTTACATGTTTCTCAAACCATTCCTGAACATTATTTTCAGTGTGACAGGGTGCATTATCCTGCTAAAAGAGACCAGTGCCATCAGGGAACACCACTGACATAAAGGGGTCATCAACAATCTCTAAGTTGGTGTTATGTGTCATAGTAACAGCTACATGAATGCCAAGACCCAACAGAACATTGCCTAGAGCATAATACTGCTTCTGCCTGCCTGGCTTCTTCCCAAAGTACATCCTGCTGTCATCTCTTCCCTAGATGAACCATGTACATGCACTGGGCAATCCACCTGATCTAAAAGAAAATGTGATTCATCAGACCAGAAAACATTCAATTGCTTCATGGTACAGTTCTGATGCTCACATCCCCGTTGAAGGCACTTCCGGCAATGAACAGGGGCCGCTACACAGCCTTATACGTAGCAAACTACGATACACTGTGTGTTCTAGCACCTTTCTAACATGGCCAGCATTAAGTTTTCAGCAACTTGAGCTACAGTAGCACTTCTGTGTGATCAGACCAGACTTCGCTCCCCACATGCATCAATGAGCCTTGGGCACCCATGATCCTGATGCAGGTTCACCAGTTGTCTTCCTTGCACCACTTTTGGTAGGTACTAACCACTGCATAACAGGAACATCAAACAAGACTTTCCAGTTTGGAGATTCTCTGACCCAGTCGTCGAGCCATCACTACTTGGCTATTGTCAAGTCACTCAGAACTTTTCTCTTGTCTATTTCCCTGCTTCCAACACATGAAATTCAAAAACTGACTGTTCACTTGCTGCATAATATATCCTCCTCCTTGACAGGTGCGATTGTAATAATATGATCAATGTTATTCACTTCACCTGTCAGTGGTTTTAATGTTGTGCTGATCAGAGTAATATAAAGCAATGAATGTAAGTAGAACTGGAACATTTACAAGCAATTTACATTCTATGAACATTTAAAGGAACACTATAGTGTCAGTAATACAAACATGTATTCCTAACACTAGAATATTAAACTAGCTGTTTAGCCATCTGGCCCTCCTTAGATCACTCTGAAAAGTTATTAACCTCTTAAGGACATAACTTCAGGAATAAAAGGGAATCATGACTGAATATTTCTGTCATGTGTCCTTAGGAGGTTAAACTTGTCTTTTCTCCCACGCCGCACTGATTTTGGTCCCGCCTCCAAGGCTGAGATTATGAATCTTGTCATCAATCAATCCTGTGCAGCACTGGACTAGGAACCACCTCTAATTGCCGTCTGAGTGACTGCCACTAGAGGTTTTACTAGGCAGCAATTACACTGACTACAGATTCCACAACCACTACATTAAGCTGTAGTGGTTCTGGTGATTATATGTCCTTTTAATAACTCTATTTATATAAATATGATATAATACTTGATGAGACAAAGGACGTGTTTGTTCTTTTCTTCACAAGTTAGTCAGTCATATAAATGTATGAAAATGTATGCTCTTTTCCTTTCAAGTTTGTATTTTTTTTTATTACAAGAACTGACATAATTGTCATAAGAATTCAAATTTTCTTGTAAACATTTTTAATATCAAGAATACATTTCTTCTTCTAGCAAATACTTGGAAAAGTTATTTCAATTCTTGATAGAAGAGGATACATTTATACATATTGCCTAGGTCAGTGATGGCGAACCTATGGCACACGTGCCACAGGTGGCATGCCGAGCCCTCTCTGTGGGCATGCGGCCATAGGTCGCCGGGGGGGTGCAGGTTGGCAGCAATGCAGAGTAGGCATCTGCCTGCCCAAAATGGCAGGTGCCTACTCTGCTTTTGTTTCGGGTGGACCTGAAGGCAGGGGGAGGGATCTGGGAAGCAGCTCTCCTGTCCTCCCACGAGCAGGCTGTGTGGAGCGTCGCTGCGCATTACCATGGCAACGATCCACACAGCATTGCGCAGGAGGACAGGAGAGCTGCAGCCAGACACATACCACCATCGGACCACCAGGGCTGGCTTTGTCCCCCCTCCTTCGCCAAAGGTAAGAAGAAGGGAGGCGGGGATAAAGATTTTGTCTTTTTTTAAATGTATCTTTACCACCCCCCCACACACAGCACCCCTAAGCCCACACACAGGACGCCACCCCACACACATACAGCACCGCCCCACAAACATCACTCCTCCCCCAACACAGCACCCCTTACACAGCACTCACCCCCACACAGAGAGCACCCCTCCACACACACAGCACTCCTCCCCCACACAGCACCCCTACCCCCCACACACACAGCACCCCCACCCACAGCACCAATCACACAACACTCCACACAAGCTCCGCACCCGTACACACAAGCACATACACTGCACCCCTCAATGCAGTATGTGTGTGTGTGTATTCAGCAATCAGTGTGTGTGTGTATATTCCGCAGACTGTGTGTGTGTATTCAGCAGACTGTGTGTATGTATTCAGCAGTTTGTGTGTATTCAACAGTCTGTGTGTGTGTTTGTGTGTATTCGGCAGTCTGTGGACTGTGTGTAGGTATTCAGCAGTCTGTGTGTATGTTTGTATGTGTGTGTATTCAGTGGACTGTGTGTATTTATTCAGCAGTCTGTCTGTGTGTGTGTGTATTTCTCAGTCTGTGTGTATGTTGGGGTGTATGTATTCAGCAGTTGGTGTGTGAATATGTTCAGCAGTCTGTGACTGTATTCAGCAGTCTGTGTATGCATTGTATGTATTGCATTTGTTGGAGATACTAATAAATATAAGCTTAATTTTATCTATTATTTATATCATTATTTAAAATTTGTATCAGTGAACTCTGTTGTTGTGTTCTTCTTTTACAACAAAAGATGTTAATTAGGTTGGACAACTGTACGATTTGTTTTATTTTAAACTTAAACGTCAGTATTGAGGTGTAATTGCCAAGTTGGCACTTTGAGGGAAAAAAAGTTGGCATGTACTGCGGTTTGAGCACTCGGGCTCAAAAAGGTATACCATCACTGGCCTAGGTTTATAGTAAACATATTCAATTCACAGTTCACATTCAATTCAACAGTTTTTGTTCAAGCATTTACAAGTCTGATCTGATGAGATCTATACATTGCCTTGTTTAATGTTACTGAGGGTTATATATAGGACTGTCAGAATGAGTTGTATCTGATTAATCATTTGTTGTCATTTTATTGAAGACCTGTACAAGTACATTATAATATCGGTTAGCCCCACCTTCGCTTCAAGAGGAACTGTCCCTTCTGTTGATGACATTTCCTCTTTTACTAAACAGAATTTTACTTATTTTACTAATTTTTACTTATTTACTGGGGTGGACAGCTGAGGTAACTATAAAATACCCTTTCAGAGAATTGGAACTGACATATTTTCAAGGTGCTGGGCAACATTTTCCTGTGGGTGTATGAATGCTTGGTCAAGGACTAGAGGGTATTGTTGGGCATACATTTGGAACAATGTACATCTTGTGTCATACTTCAACACTTCCTTTTCACCCATAGTTATAGAATTCTACTCATGACTTCTGTGTGTGTAGACATTATTGATATGCAGACAATAAGATCATAAATATAACGTATAAATGTATAGTAAAATTACATTTGAATTTGGCTAACAGAATGCATGCAAAAATTGCTTTCTTTGTAAAATGACATGTCATATTGGTAATGACATGTGAATTTTAAAAAAGTGCAAAACTGCAAACACTACGTTGATGTGTTTGCAGTAGTTTGTTGTGTAAAACAAAGCCAATAAATATATTTTATTTGTATAACATCATTATAAAACATTTTTTACATTGGATGAAGTATTCAAATCACTGTAGTTAACTATTAAGAGATTATGTAATCTAATCTACTAGTATAAATGCATCACTTAAATGAAAGTATGGATATTACAGGGGTACACAAATTAGCATTTTAGCGGCAGTCTAAGTATCCCCAGCAACTACAGACTGCTAGCTATTAAGCTATTATAGTGCAAGGACTCCATGGCACTATCTCACTGTAAAGAGTCAAATTTCTTTTTAAACAGTATGACACTTTCATATGTCCTCCCAGAGCCTGCAGCACAGCCCCTCTGCATCAATATTTTACTAATGCAGAAGTTCCCCCTCCCCTTTAGAAATATTGATTTTGTCCAACTTGGAGAAAATTATTTGACTTAAAGTGTCATCTGACACTCTTCAACTGGTAAATTCCATCATAAATTGGTCAAAATGTATATATTTCTAAAGTGGAAGAGGACCTTCTGCTTTGGTGATGTCTGTGGAAAGAGCCTGGAACAAGGGCAATGGGGTTACCAGGTGTTAACCCCTTTGAAACAATTTGACTCTTAAAAGTGAGACAGTACCAGGGAGCTCCTGGCGCCATAAACTCTATAATGTGCTGTAGTGGTTATGATCCTTAGATTGCCTCTTTAACTGTTGATAAATACACTGCACAAGTTATATACTTTAGAACTCTACATTAGATCAGAGGAAATGCTTCCAGATTATACTTAAAAATTGCAATGTATTTCTACCTGTTACATAAAATACATTATATTAATTATAAACGTTGGTTATTAATATAATCAAATAATGGTTAAACATTTTTATTTTTATTTGCAATGTCAAACAATTGGCATGCAAAATATAAATTGGTTTACATGGATAAGATGCATTCAGAAAAAGATATATAAAAAAAAAGATGGCATGTAAAGACAAAATGGAAAAGTAGACAAGTATGCAGTAAAGAAATAGTAATGCTGTTCGTTTTATTGTTGGGAATGTGTATTAAGTGAACAGACAAAAATCAACTTACGGTACTGCAAATATAAACACAGATTCCTTTATATATTTAACAAGCATACCAGAGCCAACTTGAACAGAAGACACGTATATGGTTTGTGTTTTATCAAGTACAGGTACACTTTACTTCAATTGATGTTATTTGCATTATAGAAGGAAAACAGACATGGAATATAGTTGTGCTTGTCTCTGTCCCTCAAACTCTAAATGACCAAGTGCCACTGTTTTACTTTCTTACTCTCTCCAACTTCTAGCTGTATATAGCTGCTGCCCATGGGAGCTGTCCTACTGCTAGGAAGGATGGGTGGTGCAATGAGGAGGGCTGGTAGTGGCCACCTACAAGGGTTCCAGGCACAAAACTTATTGGCTGGAAGGGAGATAGGCCAGGCCAGCCCCCCGACCTCAGATTTCGATACTTTTCCCAGTGTTATGTTTAAACATTCTCTATGTACATAATATGGGGAAGTCATATCAGGGGAGCCAGGCAGAGGCGAGAGGGGTACTGGAGGAGGTACCTCCTGCTCCCACCCAAACTAGCCCAGCTGTGCACACCGGCCGGAGGGAGGGTCGGTGTGAGATGGGGAGAGAGGGGGGGGGGCTCAGAGCTGGAAGGACAATGGGAGGGAGCGTGTGGAGGGGGAGGAGAGGAATAGCGCCCGAGAGGAAGGAGGGAGGTGTGTGTGATAATGTAAGTGGGAGGTGCGGTACTTGGTGCTGAAGGATCACACTGAAGAAGACGAAGATCTCTGATCGCTCGGATCGCGCCTTTACACCCGCCCTTCTCCCCCCCCCCCCTCCTCTATCTGCGCTCGATTTCGAATCCTTAGGAGCCGCGGCCGCCTCTGCTGTAGCGCTGTGAGAGAGCACACACACACACACACAGTGAGAGAGAGAGAGAGAGAGAGTACGCGGTGTGCCCGAGCACTGTGTGAGTCGGCTGCGCAGCTCCTGTGCGCACACCAGCAGCAAGCACCCTGGCATTACAGCGAGAGAGGAGGCCAGGCGGCTCACAACTGAACGAAAAGTAACCAGCCCAGCCCGGCAGCGGCCCCGGCACCCCCTGCCCCCAGCATGGCTTCCGAGGAACTCTATGAGGTAATGTGACCGGCCGGGCGGAGACCCCCCTTCCTGCCCGGGGGGGGGGAGACTCTGACCCCCAACAACTCAGCTGCTATTACCCCGCTTTACAGTGACCCGGCTAGGCAGCGCCCCCGGGGTATAGTTATTTTATTTTATTGCGGGAGCTCTGTTGGAGTTACTCCTCTCCCCAGCACCTTCATCTTCCTCACACTCAGTGAGAGACCGTGTGCGGCCGCCGCTTCCTCCTCTTCGTCATTATCCTCCGCTTCATCCTCAGCAGCACTTTGCTGGACAGTCATAATGAGGGGAGCCGGGCAAGTGGCCTTCCTCCCCCCCTCCTCCTCCCCCTGGAAGGCTGGCTGCTGAGTGAGTGAGTGAGCACACTCAGGGTGTATGCTATCCAGTGACTGTCAGTGTACTCACCAATGGTCTCCACACAAAGTGTCTCCCCATTAATCACAATCGGGGGCTCACCATTACTTGGGAGACTTTACACAGGGGTAAACTGAGCCTCTCCAAACATATCGGGGGGCTGGGGGGGTGATGATCAGACTTGAGTGAAAGTGCCTAAAAATATGAGGAACAGTCATCTGAGTGAATGTGCTGAGGCAGCAAGGCACGTAGCGTGAGGAGCTGCTGGGAGGGGAGGGAGGGGGGGCAGGCACGTGCGGATGGGGTAGAGGGGGCTTTAAAGTATTGGGAGAGTTTGTTACCTGTCCTAATATTGACATACTGATTAACACCACATCCTCTAGTGGACTGCATGGGACTCCCAACCCTCCCAGTATGTCATTGGGTGGGGTTGATAGAGTGATTTGGCAAATATGGCAGCCCTCTTCAATATGTGGAAGTTAATGGGTGATATGTGTGAGTCATTAAAATAAAACATGGACTCCTCCATTAAGACAATGGGAATTTTAAGTTCAGTAGTGCAACTGTTGATAAAAGTTTTTAGTTTTGTTACTTTTTTGAAGAAAAATGTGCATTAGTAGAGTGGTGGAAGTAACTGGGCAGTGACTATTGAACTTTATGGGGACTTGATAATGGCATGGGGGAAAGCAAAGTAAATTTCCATTGCAAATGGTATTGTTTGACAAATGACTCATTTTGCTTCTTTTTTAATATTTGAATGCGTTATAGTTTTGAGCAAGCACAACATGTAAGAACTAATCATTTATGAATGAATGGCTTGGATTTGTTAGTAGTTGAAGGACCATTTGATGGGAATTATAACCTTTAAGGATAACCTGCCATTTTAGGAAGGAAAAAAAACCCACCAAGGATACTTGAAATAATGGAGGGTTGACTTTTGTTAAAAATGTTTTATATTTTAATAGCTGCTTTTTCTGTTAACTCTTAGCATGTTATTCTTACCAGATGCAAATATAATTATAGTAGTAGTGAATTACATTTTACTAAAGTTCATCATCTGATGAACTCGATATTGGTCGGTTTTCTTAAGAGGCTGCCATTGCATTTTCTGACCACTGATAACCACATTGCCAGATGGTTACATGGCTTGGACAATTCCTTGCATCCGTTGTATGGATATCTTGTAAATTAATCTAAAATGTTGCACATGTGACATTTGATGACTAGAAATTGTAATGTTAATCAAACATTTGACATATATTGTGAGTCAGTATCATAAATAAATTGGGATCTGGGGCAGAACTACTACTCATTCATCTGTTTGTTGGCGTATTTTGTGTGTTTTACCCTTTCTCCGTTCGGGAATACTTCATACGAACGTAGTCCATGTGTCTCCCGAATGGGGACCACCCCTGTACCCCGTTAGAACGTTCACACCATTAACTCAAGTGCGAAACTGCAAGGGAAGTAATTAATGAATGCTCCCCTTTGTGGCTGTCATTTTGTATAACCAAACATGTGACAGACAAAAAAAAAAATAGTGGCCATCTTGTCTCCCGAACATGGGCAGCGGATCTTGGTCGTCGACTGCCTGTAACTCTTTTCGGCTAGGTAATTGCGCGAACCTCGGTAAAACCTAGACCGCTGCCCGTTCTATTTCTCGATCACCTACATGATCGACGTTCGTTAGCTATGAACTACCAAACAGGGTAGTATTCGTCTACCAAAATGAAACTATTCCCTTGCTTGGTGTTCGCACAAGAACCTCACAAACGAAGACCGGCCAGAGCACCTATTTTCCTGGAACTCTTTTGGGCTATCTCCTCGTGTCTGGGCGGTCAAAACTTTACCTTGATGGCATTCCCGTTTCACTGAACTGATTTGAGTGATTCTTGGATATGTTGTACACTCAAATCGGGGCTATCGGGGAATGTACTTTTTGTGGGGTTCCTGAGTATGGTGGGTGCACTTTTGGGGTACTATATATTTTGTTGGATGTTTTGTACCTGAGAATTCTCACACAATTATCTATCAGACACAGAGGATCCGGTTTTCTTGTATTGTAAACCCCATGTACAGAACTGGGCATAATAGCCGTGTATGTTCCAATAAACCTCAGTTGACTCCCAGGACTATGTTTCGTCTGGTTATTGGGGGAACGGGTATTTACTTGTGCTGATGGTTCCAGAGTGGCTGAAGTAAGGTAATAGCGGAGATAACCATTTGGGTTACCCGTGGTCCGTTACACTCACAAGTATCCTTTGTCCATATGCCATATAGAGCACAGTTTCACTGTTAAATCGACACTAGTCAAGTCACCAAAACAATTTTAGCTTAATGAAGCCGTTTTGGTGTGTAGATCATGTCCCTACAGTCTCACTGCTCACTTCTCTGCAGTTCAATTCACACCTCCTGCATGTAACATGCATAACCTTCCTAGACATTTCCTTTAAAGTTAGATCTAGTGTTTACATTTCCTTTATTGCACAGTCTGTTTAATTTAGAATTTCTTATCTCATGCACTGTTACTAGTTTGCTAGACCTTGCAGGAGCCTCCTGTGTGTGTGATTAAAGTTCAATTTATGGAACAGGAGATAAAAACATCTAAAGCAAGTTAGCATATTATTGAAAATTAAACCATTTTTCTATGCATGCTGTGTGTCACAGCCAGGAAACGTATGGCTAGGGCTACTGAAACAAGTGATTTAACTCATAAATGGCATTGAATCGAGCACTGAGACTTAAAAGGCATGATCTATACACAAAAAACGCTTCATTACGCAAGTGGTGTTTGGTGCCTATAGTGTGCCTTTAATTGTTGCCAATTACTCCTAACCTTCCATTTAAAAGTTTTTACTTGGTCATAAGTAGTGTACAATTTGAAATGTATGTTTTGTCATTTATTCTATAACTTTCCAGGGTTTCCTATGATTGTGCAAGATTGGACACATCGTGCAACATTATAAATTTTATATACAAGTGGCTAAGTTTGTAGAGCTGCACTTGCTCTTGAGGTTTTTTAATTTTTGTTTAGAGTTTTGAGGATAGCTGCGATGTGGTGATTCTTTTTGGAGGAGGAGATAAGTACATGTTGTAAATTTTAATGCTTAGTTTGTGGTTATAATGTAATAATGGTTTCAGTTTTAATGGAATCCAATGTGTAGGAAAAGAGTTCAAGAAATCAATGCAGGTAAGTGTAAAATTTGGACTGCTGCACAGTATGATGAATCATTCGTAATTTCAAATTTTTGTATGTATTTGTCACACATGTGGGTGCTCTATCAGCCCCAATTCTCCACAAGTTCCAAACCTACTATTCAGTGTATTGAGTTATTTCGTACCACTGCTAATTTGGTTAATCCCTTAACGCCGTTACGGCGTTCTATGCCGTCCCGCATTAATAGGGCTTTAAAGCTGTTGCGGCGGCATAGAACGCCTTAATGGCTTTGAACCCCAGGAGGTCCGGTAGACTTACCTCCGCCGTAAAAATAGAAATTTATTTATATATATATATATATATATATGTATATTATATATGTAACATCATACAAAGTGTATTTTAATATTAATATAAGTACATATATTCGTATTAAAAATACACTTAGAATGACGTTACACATGTGTATACTAATGTAATCTTTTATGTAATTATATGTATATAGTCATTCTAAGTGTATTTTGTTACATATATACACATACAATATATATATTTTTTAATAAAATACAGTTAGAATGAAATTACATATGATATATATTAAATTTTGTGTGTATATATATATATATATATATATATATATATATATATATATATATATATATATATATATATATATATATATATAGAAAAATATATATTGTGTGTGTGTGTGTGTGTGTGTGTGTGTGTGTGTGTATATATATATATATACAAAATTTAATATATATCTTATGTAATTTCATTCTAACTGTATTTTATTTAAAAAAATATATATTGTATGTGTATATATGTAACAAAATACACTTAGAATGACTATATACATATAATTACATAAAAGATTACATTAGTATACACGTAGAATTTAAATACCTATAAATGCATATATATTAAAATTCTATGTGTATATTTAAGTAATCTTTTAACATAATTATGTGATTTGATTAATTAAAATTTGAGTGACATGCCTGACAACACAGGGAGAAAGTACAGAGAATTTAATTTGCAAGCACTATGTAGAAACATAGAATGTGACGGCAGATAAGAACCATTCGGCCCATCTAGTCTGCCCAATTTTCTAAATACTTTCATTAGTCCCTAGCCTTATCTTATAGTTAGGATAGCCTTATGCATATCCCACGCATGCTTAAAATCCTTTACTGTGCTAACCTCTACCACTTCAACTGGAAGGATATTCCATGCATCCACTACCCTCTCAGTAAAGTAATACTTCCTGATATTATTTTTAAACCTTTGTCCCTCTAATTTAAGACTATGTCCCCTTGTTGTGGTAGTTTTTCTTCTTTTAAATATAGTCTCCTCCTTTACTGTGTTGATTCCCTTTATATATTTAAATGTTTCTATCATATCCCCCCTGTCTCGTCTTTCCTCCAAGCTATACATGTTAAGATCCTTTAACCTTTCCTGGTAAGTTTTATCCCGCAATCCATGAACCAGTTTAGTAGCCCTTCTCTGAACCCTCTCTAAGGTATCAATATCCTTCTGAAGATACGGTCTCCAGTACTGTGTACAATACTCCAAGTGAGGTCTCACCAGTGTTCTGTACAATGGCATGAGCACTTCCCTCTTTCTACTGCTAATACCTCTCCCTATACAACCAAGCATTCTGCTAGCATTTCCTGCTGCTCTATTACATTGTCTGCCTACCTTTAAGTAATCAGAAATAATCACCCCTAAATCCCTTTCCTCAATTGTTGAGGTTAGGACTCTATCAAATATTCTCTACTCTGCCCTTGGGTTTTTACGTCCAAGATGCATTATCTTGCACTTATCCACATTAAATGTCAGTTGCCACAATTCTGACCATTTTTCTAGTTTACCTAAATCATTTGCCATTTGGCTTATCCATCCTGGAACATCAACCCTGTTACATATCTTAGTATCATCAGCAAAAAGACATACCTTACCATCAAGACCTTCTGCAATATCACTAATAAAAATATTCAAGAGAATGGGTCCAAGTACAGATCCCTGAGGTACCCCACTGGTGACAAGTCCAAGCTTCGAATATATTCCATTAACTACAACCCTCTGTTGCATGTCACTCAGCCACTGCCTTACCCATTCAACAATATTGGAATCCAAACTTAAAGATTGCAGTTTATTGATAAGCCTTCTATGTGCAACAGTGTCAAAAGCCTTACTGAAATCTAGGTAAGCAATGTCTACTGCATCACCCTGATCTATAATTTTAGTTACCCAATCAAAAAAATCAATAAGATTAGTTTGGCATGATCTCCCTGAAGTAAATCCATGTTGTCTCTGATCATGACCCTGTAACTCTCCAAGACCCCATGTACAGGTTTTATGGTGTTTTTGAAAGTTAGAGAGTCACATATAAGGCTTCCATTTAATTTTTTTGACATTGAAATTTGACAGATTGGTTATGTTGCCTTTGAGAGCGTATGGTAGCCCAGGAATGAGAATTACCCCCATGATGTCATACCATTTGCAAAAGTAGACAACCCAAGGTATTGCAAGTGGGGTAGGTCCAGTCTTTCTTAGTAGCCACTTAGTCACAAACACTGGCCAAATATTATTTACTTTTTTCACACAAAATAAATATGAACTCTAACTTTGGCCAGTGTTTGTGACTGTGGGTGCACTTAATGTGACAGCAGTGAATTACGGTTGAACAGACATATAGTGCAAACTCCAGTTTTTGTTTACGTTTTGTTTTGATCAGAACGTGCACTATTGACTCCGTCCTGAAGGGGTTAAATTTCAGTTGGATTAGTCTTTATTTTTTTCAGTACTATTGGGATTTTACCAGACTGATTTTCTAAATCAGTGGCTTCTCTCACACCTCTCCCCTCTGACCTTACATTGGCTTCCTGCATCCTATAGGAGTAAATTCAAAGTACTAATTCACACCTTTAAAGCGCTGAGCAATTCTAGCCCCTTCTATATATCTTCACTGATCCGTAGGTGTGCCCCTTCTCTGTCTCTCCGCTATGCCCATGACCTTTTCCTGCTTGCACCCTTACAGCCAACCCGTACTTACAAGACTTCTCACAGGCGGCTCCTTTCCTTTGGAATAGCCTGTCTACCACCTCCTCTAGACTGTAAGCTCATTTGAGCTTTTCACCCTATTGTTTTTGTAATTGTTTCATTTATTGTTAAATCTCCCCCTCTGATCTTGTAAGGCGCCAAGGAATATGCTGATTCTATACAAATACCAATAATAATTTTGTCATTTTCCACATTTTCTACATTTTGTGCTTTAAGTTCATGAAATTCAAACGTCACATATGCAACTCTACTTGAATGTTCGTTTGAGTGGAAAATGTTTAGTTTTTTTTAAGAATGCATAATACTATGTAGGTGGTGTTATCAGCAAATTGTTGCCTCTGTATATTTAAATAAGATAAGTAGAGCGAGTAATATAATTTTAAAGAATTTAATCCGATTCAAAGTATCCTGGATTCGATGCAATGATCCATATATTCCAGGTTAGTTTTTAGCCTAATATCCATGGCATATTTTTTTTTTTTTGTTTTGGATTACAGTTTTACGCACAATTTTTATAAATTAATGATTGCTTGTTTATACTGAGAAAGATCAATGTTGGTGTAGAGCTTAGTCACCTGTTGGTGCAGCAGTGTCCATGTGGTTCTTGTTCTAAAAAGAAATGTCAGAGAGATTTAGATAGCTGTAAGTGTTTCAATATTCTTTTGCCTTTCTCTATTTTTATAAAAATGTTTAGGGTCTTATTTGTTACTAGGAGTATTATTTTCCGAACCAGTGTTTGCATTATTTGCAGTGCAATCTTTGTACCCATTGTAGTTCCTATATAATGAAGAGCATTTCCCTTACATGAATTGCTACTAAATATATTTATAACCATGGTTCTTACTGTTTTGTAACAAAGACCCAAATTGCAAGTATAGATTTACTTTAGTGACATTCAGTTTTAAAATTAGCTTAATGACTCATTTGTATGCTAATGTAATATTTAACAAACATTTCTATGAAAGCAAAAGCATTAACAATTTTAATGTCGGAGGGATCTCCGTTGATCTGGAGAAGGTACTACTGCAACATAAGTAAATTTGTTGAGCACTAATGTCTGGCGTTGGTATATGGCATGACAATTGCAACCATTTTGGTTTCACTAAAATAGCATGATGATCCAATTGTGTAAGTCCTTACCTAGAGGTTAAAAAAAAACACTGTTTTACAATGCTATGAGATGTTGAAAGACATATTTGATTTAAAGATCTAAAAAGTTAGTTCAAATGAAATATTGCCTTGAAAATATTCTTGACTCACACATATTGATTTTTATTTTTTATTTTTTTTTAGTTTTATATCAAAGTGACATTCATGGTACCTGTGTTTTTTTTGTTTTTGCTGGTTTCTTATTGTGTTCATGATCAATTTAGGACTTTAATGTATGAGCTTGTTAAAATGCAAATGAACTGTGAATGTAATGTATCAGAAGAAAGATTAAAGAAATGAAACCCAACTTACTTCTAAAAGCAAACATTTTTTATGTAGAAGGCAGTTTGAATAATGATCAAACTCTAAAAGCAAAGAGTCCAATTTCACATGATTGGATTATTATATACTGGAAAAGCCAATGGATTAGCAGAATATTGTCAACCAAGACGAGATACTTATGTTTTCTGAAAAATTACTTACACAAAACCATTTTCAAAAAAATATGTTGGCATTTCCAGTGATATAGAGAGAGTGGTAAATTATCCATATTGAAGTTAAAACATACTTCAAAATGTAAGCTCATTGAGCAGGGCCCTCAAAGCCTCTGTTTCTGTGCGTATACTGGTTTGGTTACAATTTATGTTTGTTAGTCCACCCATTGTACAGCGATAAAGAATTTGCTGGTGCTATATAAATAATAATAAAAGAGCTAGTGTAGCACATAATGCCTGATGGTGTATTTAGTAGAAACCAGCAAACCGCTTATCCTTTGTATACTTGGGTGACTTTCTGTCGTTACTGCAACTTCTAACATCTTCTACATGAAAAGTACTTTTTGCTTCAGGTACATCTGCCCACATAAAATAAAACGCATGTTCTGTTTAATTTGTTGTCCCCATTTAACCAGACTTATTTTACTAAAACTGGCTGATAATTGTTCTTAGAGGATGTAATATCATTGGATATGATGTCACATCTTGATTTGAAGGCAATTGTTTCTCACCAACCCCAGAATGTTAGACCAGTTCTTTAATGTTGGTCAAGACAGACTCACCAAATAACTTAGCCCAGCACACACGTCTTGTCCAAATACACCTTTTTACAACTTTTTTTGCTGGTGAATGCATTATTAAGGGCAGATGAGCACCCCAACGGTTGAAATCTTATAGTACACTTTTCAAAAGTGACTATTTTGCTGTGCGTGATTTTATACAACCGGTCATACTACAAACTCCTTCATGTGGTTGGTGGGATATTCTTTTCATTTGTTGAGATCAACTGGACCTTTGAGCACCTATATAGATGTTTTTTTTTTTAAATACAATTTATGACCTACAACCTTTTCTTACATTCCAGCTTTGCAAGACCCATAACATAAAGGATTTTAGTGAATCACTGAATTCAACATTTTTGTTCATTTTAGAGGCTGTACTTAAGGGACATTTAGCAGCTATCCTTGTAAAATTTCACTTCCTAGTACATTTGCTCCTTGATGTGTTGCAAGACACTTGAGTTACTGACTTATTGATGAGTAAATGAACTTTCTGGAGAAAGTTACTGCTAAAGCATCAAACACAATTCATCTGGATGGGGATATTTACATCCTATTGAAAGCCATAGGAAGATTAGGGTTGACTAGATATAAGACATAGGCAGCGCAGGGGGACAGACTCTTAATCAAAATTATCTCAGGGATGATGGATTTCATGCAAATAGCATATGAAAATAGCAGGCTAACAAAATCACTCACTGTTCGCCTTAGGGAGCTTCCTTTTCCATGATAGAAAGAGAGCACTTTAAAGGGACACTAGTCGCCATAACCACTACAGCTTAATGTATTGGATCTGGTGTCTAAAGCCTGTCCCTGCAGGCTTTTCGATGCAGATGTTACCTTTTCAGAGAAAAAAGCAGTGTTTATATTGGTGTTTAATGGCAGTTACTCAGCGAAGCATTCATTCAATGCATCTTTTTGATGCTAGCTGGGATCTGATTGGTCACTCACCTCTCCCTTCAAAGTTTAAAGTTAATAAATGAATTCAATTGCTGTTTTTCCTCTATTTTTCAAATGACTTTCATTGTAGTGGTTTAGCCTGCCTCCCCAGACCAAGTAATCATGCACGTGAGTGTATTTAAATGTCTGTGTGTGTGTACAGATATTTATCCAGTCCCCTTCTGGATAGAGGTGGGGATAGTTGCTACTTTAGAGGCATTTTAGATCAAAACTTTGGACACTTTCACAGCCAGAGGGTTAAATTAATACATTTTTGTTTTTTTACTTCTTGGAAACAAGATGGTGGTTACGTTCTCTGGTTGCTTTTAAATTTTTTTTTGTATATTATTAACTCAATAGGTATTATTATAAGCCATGATTTGAATATATTGTTTTAAGAGTTGGCACTTTTTTTTTTCTTTTTCCCTCTTCCTCATTGTGGGTTTTTTTCCAACTGCTGAATGCTTAGTTTTGTTTCACTTTAGGACCAGTTTGTTTTTATTTATTTTTTTTCACCATATACTCCCATTTCTTATGCAAATCTCCTACTTTATTTCTGGTAAGTTTTATGTGTTTGCTTCTATATGTTTGAGTTAGTGACTTTTATAACACTCTATCGTACCTTATTTTACTGTTTTATATTGATCATGATTTTTCTTGGACCTTTTGGTTTTATTTTGTCTCTCTATCTCTGTCTACAGTTTAGACGATTTGCTCCTTTGACACTGGTCATCAGAACCACTACAGCTTAATCTATTAAGTAAAGTAAAAGTAAGGGAATTTAAGAGAGGGTTAGTAAAAAAAAAAAACCACCCACCAAAAAGTCCCTTAAGTGGAGCGCTAAATAGTAGATATCCCTAATCTTAGGGATTTCAGGTGTTCCAAATGGAGGTTTAGATATGCAAAAAAAGAGAAAATATATTTCCAGTAGTGGAGTATGTCAAAATGTAATGCATAAATGATAAAATCTATATAATTAAACTCACAAGTGAAGAGCCAAGTCAGGGACTGTCTCAAATCACAATTGCCTTGGTGTACATTGGGAGACTCCTTCCCTCTTTTATTTGCTTTTTTCAATACTTATAAGGGAATACACAAAGATAAAGAGAGATCTCTGGCAAAGTATGTTAGAATAAAGTCTAAACAAATAAGAAACACCAAATGGTATAGTGCCCACATTTTCCAGAGCCGAATCTGAATATCTGGCTCTGGTTGGACAGTTTGTTACCCACTGAGGGGGGTACACCTTCTTTGGAGGTAGATAAAGATAGCAGCAAGTTAGGACTAAAAATGATCCAAATTATTAATTTATTAAAGTATTAAAAAATTAACAAGTGTGTATTATAAAACAATAAAAAATAATGTCCATAAGTGCTGGGAATCTCCCTCGAGATGCGTTTTGCCCTTTCCTCTGGCTTTTTCAACCAAAGTTGATCTCTTCATCTTTATTAGAAGAAGCTAGTGACCCCTTGGGGAGCTAGCAAAAAGTGTGTCAGGGGCAACCTTTCAGGGGGTAACCCTCACAAACGTATATAACTCAAAAAGAAAAGGCCCCAAGGGATGAAACATCCCAGGGGTCATAGGTTGGGAGGTCCCTCAAAATGCTACGTATGTACCTTTAAAACATAACTTTTATTAGAAAATGAAATAAAAGTGCCAGTGCTTGTGACTGTGAAGCTTGTGACACACACAAAAAAGTATTAAAAGAAACAGACAGGCTAATGAATGACTACAATAATAGTTATACTGGATAGGGGCCCCAATGGTAAGCTTGCTTAATAACACCAATTGCACAATGGGGTATACTCACTCCATCCGTAGCTTTAAATAGAAGAGGTAACCGGTGCGTGCTGAGACCTCTAAATTGCAAAGGTTACATAAACCCTAATAAATGAAGAAGATATGTATCTAACAAACCACACTTGTGCACTTCTAAAATATGTGCCAAGGTTACGTCTGCTGAAATACCCCAATAGGCTGTGTTATTGGCATACACCGAAAAATGAATAAATAAGAAACAAAAAACTGAACTGCTTGTAACAGAAAATAGTAATAAGCCCCTACGGAGAGAAAAGGCATATTCCCACGTTGCATATTAAGAGGCTAATAATACTTTCTTACAGTCCCATAGGACCAAATTGATGTGAGGGATAAGCTATCTCATCTTATATGGACGGAATTGATGTGTCTTATCACCTGCCTAATGGGTAAAACGAGGTCACAGGGAGCGTTTGGTGGTGAGAAATGCTTGCCCTACATAGATACTGCAATGTCGGTATGCCCTGCATCCATGTCTCCCACCATATCCCCAAACCCACAAAAAGCTAAACGGCTAAAGTAAATTACAGGTTAAAACGCCTGTCTGTGACGCTGCCTGACGCGTGTTTCGGCTCTGCTAAAGCGCCTTCATCTGAGGCATAACGAGGGGGGGTGCTTATCATACCGGAGTCAAATTTAAAGGATATACGGACCAATGGGAGCTGAGGGCACGTGAGTCCCCTTTCGCGCCAATTCAGACGTGCAACTTGACCACACCCCCCAATACGTGTTGCAAACGGATTCGTGGGAAGGAAATGAATGGGTACATGGACGTGTGTTAACCCTATGGGTACCGTACAAAAGTAGGTGGATCCACATGAAGTCCCTAATGGGACCTGTACCCCGCTACTACCCATCCCTCGAAAGATCAGACACTAATAGGAGTATAATAATACATGGCTTTTAATAAAATGCTGAAATAGCTGTAATAAATGAGTCCATGTACATGTGTTGCCCATATCTGTTCCGTATGGATATACACTTATGAAGTCCCAAGAGGGGCTTTTACCTCGATCCTACCCATCCCTAAATAGTTCAACACTAATAGGAGTGTGACAACACACAACTTGCAGCTTAAATGGCGAGACAGCCGTTTCAGAACGTATTAGGACAATACATCCTACAGAAGGGGTGGATATAAGACATTATGAACGGTGACAAATTATCGACTTTGTGCAAATTGCACATCACCTGGTAGTAATACAGGTGGTGCCCTGAATACAAAATCCCTTATCGAGGCACCGGTGTAATGTGGTGTAGGAGACCACCCTGATGGTCTCAATTGAATTACTACACAACTCTCCTTCTTCTAAGGCCCTCATCCTTATCCCTGGAGATTTGTGCATTCCTTCCATCTGCTTGTGTCTCCCTTTTGCTTGAGTTTCCCAAAAATCCTCATCTCTAGGGGATCTGTTGAGGTGTTCAAACTTATTCCTCGTATAGACATTTCTTCTTTTATCTATTTTATCTTTTAATGTATATGCTTTTTAATGTAAATATGCCTTTTTAGAGAAAAGGCAGTGTTTACACTGTTTCCTAGTAACATTTCTAATGGCAGTCACTGAGATGGGTACTAGAGGTGTTGCACAGTCTACATCCAGTGTCTCCACATTCTGTATGGAGGCGCTGAACGTTTCCCCATAGAGATGCATTGATTCAATCCATCTCTGAGGAGATGTTGTTTGGCGCAGCATTGGGTTGAGGTAATATATTTGATCTCCTTTATATCTAGTGCAAATTTTTTTTTACAATCCATGTCTAGGTACATGCATGTGCCTGTATATATGTATTGATCACTTGTAGTGGTACGTCTACCACTTTACTTTGCATATTGCAGTATTGGTTGACAGAGCAACCTCTGTAGACACATATTTGTATATGCTTTTTCTATCTCTTGGTGAGTTTATTTTTTTTTTTTTCTGCATGTTTTCTGGCACACCTGGTATGCTTTTTGCACCTAATTTCTTACTTTGCTATCACAAAATCTCATTTATGTATAGGTTGCCTTAGCAACCTTTGCATTTCCTCACACATCACATGATGTTTCTGGTCACATGATTTTTGGTCTGCTGACAATTTCCTGGTCTTGATGCACTGTCAGTCAGGGTTTGCTTCACTTAGTAAGGTATAATTAAGTGTGCTTGCATAGCAAGACCACTTATTATCACACACACACACACATATATTATTACGTGTTCTTGCATAGCAAAACCGCTTAATATTATCTCACATATATATTATTCTAGCCAAATTTACCACCCTAACTCCTCCCACAGTTTTTATACTACATAGACAGTAATATACCAAAACGTGCGGATTGTTCCCGATGGATTGCTATTACTTTGTGGAACGTTTTCTTGGAATGGTTAACAAAATATCGTTTTTGTGGCGAAATTGGTCCCATAGGGATGAATGGCGAAATGTTCAAAACTAGAGTGGGAGCTGGCAAAAGCTGAAAAATCAGGACATGATTTCTAAACTGCCACCACTCCCTCATTTTCAAGCCCACCTACACAAATCTTATACCCAAACGTTTAGCTATGCCTGCTGCCACTAAACATGTCCACGGCTAAGCCGTAGTCCTAATAGTTTTCACAATATGACCATTTGTTTGCAACTCACGCCATCCATTGACATTCATTGAAACTCCACTCTAGCCAGCTCAAATTTGAAGGGCAAATTCTAAACTGTGACTGTGCCTTTATTGTTATTATTTCATAGACATACTATGCATGTGCATGTAGGTCTGGGTCTTGTGATTTTCACAATATAAAGCTCTTCGCTGTAGGATTTATAGGGTTTTTTTTTTTTTTTTATAAATATGACCGTTTGAAGATGGCAACCGCCAGCGAAGTGAGCAATTTGGAGCAGTTTGTTTTTAACCGCTTTTCTCTGCCCTATTTGAAATCTATTAGTTCCTGTTGGCAGTTCGTGGAATGTTCGAGGGATTTGAAAGCTCTTCTCTGCCCTTGCTGTAGAGTGAGTGAACCACACTCCAACTTTCCACAGTTACTCAAGCCACTCCACCCAGTTACTCCGCTCACTTATATCTTATTAACTGGTAATATTGCAATACATTGGAACCCAAAAGCTGTTGGATTCCTTCGTCATTCAATTTTCTTCATGCTCTAGCTCGCCCCAAGGCTCTTGGCAGACTCTTCTTGCCTAAAACGAACAGCTACTACTCTTATAGCATATACCCTCCTTGGACTACTAGATTGCCATTAGGTCATAAGGTTCTAGTGATCCCATTCTTGATGAGGCAGAAGCCATTTGATGTGGAGAAATGAAAGAGTTCTGTTAGGGCTCATTTACTTTTTAATTTTAGTATCCATCAAATTGTAAGTGTTGGCCCTGTTAGTTGCTTGTTGTATTATGTTGTTCACATTAATCATCTATCCTCCACTAGATCTTAGTGGTGGTCGAAATTTCAAAGGTTCAGTCTATTGATGAAAGTAGTTAATGGTGGAAAAATTACCTGGTTGCTTTTGTTCTTGTGGCCATGTTTCTCATCACCTAAAGTAGAGCGAAAGGATTGGGTTTGAGGTGGAGACCAAGTTCTGGTTAATTTGCAAATAAAAGTTGTCTCTGTTTAGGAAAAGTAAATCTTGGGGACTAGATTTACTGAGATATTAATTTACTTGTGAGGGAGATAGAAATGCTCTGGTACATGCCATTGCGACCAGTGAGCTTCATGTAAAATGTATCTGATCATGCCAGGGAGGATGTTGCTGGACATCCTTACTAATGAGTCTAGAAATAGGCATGTCTATTTCCACTGTCACCAAAGGGGTTAAAAAAAAAAAAAAGTATTACATTTTTAGACCATTAGTGTTTTATTTATTTTTTATTGTGATGTTGGTTTCCAAGCCTGTTCCCTACCCCCATTGTTATATCTGTGCCTTCTTTCTAATGCATGTTGTTAGATATGATACATAGAACATCTTTGTTATTAAAGGGACACTATAGTCACCAGAACAACTACAGTTTATTGAATTTGTTCTGGTGAGTAGAATCATTATATTCAAGCTTTTTGCAGTAAACACTGTCTTTTCAGAGAAAATGCAGTGTTTACATTACAGCCTAGTAATAACTTCACTGGCCACTCCTCAGATGGCTGTTCGAGATCCTTCCTGGGTCATGGCTGCCTAAAATGCATCCAAACATTCAGTGTCTCCACCCTCTGCATGCAGACACTGAACTTTCCTCATAGAGATTCATTGATTCAGTTCATCTCTATGAGGAGATGCTGATTGGCCAGGGCTGTGTTGGAATTTTGCTGGCTCTGCCCCTGATCTGCCTCTTTGTCACTCAGCCAATCCTATAGGGAAGCATTGTGATTGGATCAGGCCACCACTTCTACTGATGTCAGCAGGCAGTGGGCAGGTCTAAATGAAAACAAGCCAGAGCTAGCAGCTCCAGACTTGAATACACGTAAGATTTTGCTGTTTTTAGGGAGGCATGAGGGGACCAGGGGGGCAAGATGGTGGTTTTACATGTTTGTGTTCCTGACCTTATAGTGCTCCTTTAAGGTAATGCTATACACAGTGCGTGATTTCAGTCCCTAAAGGGTTGTAAAACCCCTTTATAAAACCCTATCTGTGCCGTGCAGAATGTTATTTTGGTTTTTGTTTTTTCTTCAAAGGATTAGAGAAGATTAGCACAATGACTTAAGTCTTGTTAAAAGTCATTGTCACTACCTGCACGTTTTAATGCGTTGTGTACTTGTCTGCTATATTTAACTATATGTGAAGTATGAAAATAAAATTTACATGCATAACTCTTTTGCGAGTATTGCTTGCAAATATGTTGCTTGGAATAAAAAAATATTAAAACATAGGTATTTCTCCTGTCAATACATTTTTTGGCGTAAACTCTGTGCTAAAAAAGAGTGACATGAAGAGCAAAAAAGATATCTCAAAGGTCTATATTTTCTCAAACATAGTAGCCACAGTGTATGCACTGTGGTTGATATGTTAACATTGTAGTTGTTGCGATTAGTGCTGGTTAGGGAGTATAGGAACAGTGACCAATGTCACTCCATTAATATACCTCCCAACATTTCGAATGGATAGAAGGACACTTTAAGATTAGGGGTGTAAGTGCCTGTGTGGCCCAGGGCGGGGCTGTACTGGGACTTTTTCGTGACTTACTAATAGCAATTTATACATCTAAAATGTAATTTAGAACAAGAACAATGCATCTTATTTACACACTTATTACTAACTATATTTTATATTGTTAATTACTTGACACTTTATTTTATTTCTGTACATACTTATTTCATATACAAATATTTATGATATTTGTATTTTATCCAATTGCTTGTTTAGTTTTGACAGTGGTTCATAAGTCATTTTATTTATATATGTGCCAATGTTGTATGTTATATGTTATATTATTTTAAAACATTAATCAAAATATTTGACATAACCACATTTATTGTAATTTGGAGGCACATTTCTGTGAGTTCTGTTGATGTGGAGCTCTGTTATACACTTAGACACACTAACAATATGGAACTCTTTGAAAAGAGGATGTCAAATTTAGAAGAAAATGGAAGCTTAAGGGTAACACTCTTTCTGGGGGTAACCAAGGTAACTGGAGAAATTAGAAAACCAAAATTGAGTACCCTGGTTAAAACTTAACATTTATTGTTATTGATACAAATTAATAAATAAAAAGGCATTTTTATAATTGTGCAAAAGTGCTCAAAGTGAATATAAGAAACCAAGTCTATATACAATAAGTTACATTTTTCCTGTCCAGTGTCTATCGATCTACTCTTCTTTGTATTCTTTCAGTAAGGTGTATTGTCTCACTAATATCAATATATTCTTACTACAGAAACAAAGTTCTTGATTGTTTGTAATAATGCTCTGTTATTCGTAGATTGTTTGGGAATACATTTTGATCTGTGCTCGTTTAGTAAGGTCTGCTGTCAGTTTTTCTTATTTATTTCTGTTAATTTCAGAGAAAGTAAATTTTACACAAGAGACATATAGTGTAAGGACAGAAATTGTAGGAGAGAAAATATTAATCTTAAGCAGTGGTAGTCAACCTTTTTCTTCCTACCGCCTACTAATGCATCTTTCTTGATGGAAAAATTTCCTTACCACCCACCAGTTTTCGCGCAAGTGCGGAATATTTTTTAGAAAGGAGGGCATTTAAAAAAATAAATGTACGTACATTTATCTTTTTATTTCTACTTAATGCATGTTTATAATGTTTTTAACTTTATAAAGTTTAATGAGAAAACAAAGTAAATTGAAATGACCTTTACTAGTGATTAATGAGATCCTTGAGGTTGATGCTGCGAGACTAAATATTTGCTATCTGGTTCGATTTTCGTAAGGAACAAACGAAGGTCTCCTCTTTCGGTGATATTCAGACGACTTCTCTGTTTGCGCATAATATGATTTCTCATCTGTGCGTCAGCTCCCCTCCTTTCCCTCCTCAATTCCCCTCCCCACCTTTTTTTTTTCTCCTTTTTTCTATTTTTTAATCTTACTTATAGCAATGCCCAGTAGGAAGGCTGAGCTAAGTAGCCCACTTACAGGCAGGCACACACATACATAAGACACATACATACATACATACGACACATACATACATAAGACACACACACACGATATGCATACAAACACAAATTATATTTAAGTCACCCTCCTGTTTCCTACCTTTAAGGTGCAGGAGGGTGACATTCCCTGGGGTCCAGTGGTGGATCGGAGTTAGAGTTCCCACTCTGACTTCCTGGTCTTCCTCCCGCGCGTCTTTCCGTGTTAGCTGGGAGGAGTGACGTGTAGTCACTTCCTCCCAGCTCTGTGATGTAATCACAGGGGGCCCGGTCGCGCAGTTAAAGCGCCCAGTGCTGACCGGGCTCCCTCACAATCCACTTCCATCGGGTGGCCCTGACAGCATGGGCCACCCGATGGACCCCTTGCACGGGGCCGCAATGGTGATGGCAGTACCCGGTCGCAGGGGTACTGCCGGCTCGCACCCGCCCACCCAATCTCTCCAAATGAGGAAATCCCTACCGCCCACCTCGAATCCTGAAACGCCCAGGGCGGTAGGGACCAGGTTGATTACCCATGATCTTAAGCTATCAACCAGACATAGCCTATTAAATTATTTTCTTAATGATGTTACCATATCCCTCAGGGGATCGGCAGTATACTTGACTAAGATAATGCTATATCTATATGTGAAAGTCACTGTACTGACAATACCGATTGGGTCCTAAAATAATGATCGGATTGGTTTTCAGATCTCCTGCAGTATAGATTAGTGTCAAGAGGAGGAAAGCCGGGCTACTGAGGACAGAGTTTAGATACGTCTGTGCTTCCAAGGGCACCGATCATCAATGAAAGCTCGGTAGAAATGCTGGTTAGCCATCTACTAAATGGCTATTTTCATATTATTCCTCGGTGAGGTAATGGTTCACAAATCTTTGTGGAATGTCTTTAACGGACCTTTCCTGATCTAATGATAGTGGTCTTAGGAGCTGATCTGTCCCGAACACCTTGACTACTTAGTTTCTCTCTTCTACTAAGCTAAAGCACAGATATATTCTAGGTAGAATAAATGTATGTAAGCTCGGAATCCTGGCTAAATGAACACGAAATTCCTGCTCTAATAATAGTAGATTTTAAATAAAACTGTCTACCAGGATCACAAAGAGCCTTTAATGCGCACGTTTTGTCCACAGCTCATCAAAGGGGAACCGATGTGCGGAAACTAACCGATTATTTAAAAGAGGAGTGTGAAGTCTAACCGGAGGAATTCAAAAAAGGTCATTATTGTCTTTGCCAATCTGGTTTGTGGATGGAAAGTCTCAATTGATTTATTAGGTTAATTGCTCGTAGTTGTATTCACACATGAGAATTTCTGATGTTGATTTCATTAACATCAAATGCAGCAACTTATTTTGCATTATTTCTAATAAGATGCATACTAGTGAAATCTAGCATATTTGTTTTAAAGGGCCATTCTAGGCACCCAGACCACTTCAGCTTAATGAAGTGGTCTGGGTGCCAGGTCCAGTTAGGGTTAACCCATTTTTTTTTTATAAACATAGCAGTTTCAGAAAAACTGCTATGTTTATAAATGGGTTAATCCAGCCCTCAAATCCTCTAGTGGCTGTCTCACTGACAGCTGCTAGAGGCGCTTGTGTGCTTCTCACTGTGAAAATCACAGTGAGAACACGCAAGCGTCCATAGGAAAGCATTCAGCCCAGGAGGAGGAGAGCTCCCCGCCCGGCGCTGGTGAAAGGTAAGATTTAACCCCTTCCTCTCCCCAGAGCCCGGCGGGAGTGAGACCCTGAGGGTGGGGGCACTCTCAGGGCACTATAGTGCCAGGAAAACGAGTATGTTTTCCTGGCACTATAGTGGTCCTTTAAGTCGTTCAATGTGTCCATGTTGTCTGTCAATATGTATAAACTAATTTGTTACATTGCATTTATGTGTTCATTGATACTATAAGATACTATGTATTCCCTTTATGTTAAGTATTGAACTTGTCAAGTTTGTCTGTAATGCTTATTTCTATTTTTTTTTCTCCATTATGCCAGACTTGTTGAGATGAGTTACAAATTGTCAGTGATTATGTTGATTAATGGTAAAGAATCTGCAATTTCACAGATAATTGGGGTTATTGTCCCAACTTTCGATGTTAATAGTAGAAGGAAATGATCATATTTGCTGTAGGTGGAAATTCCTGCAATACAGTGGAACAGAACCAATTAATCTAAGTGTAAGCAAACAGACTCTGTTTTTGAGTATCACAATTTTTCAACATTAGAATTATGCATACTAAAAAATTGTTTCTTACTAGAATGTCAATAATTCCTTATTTTTATTGGAATTCTTTGATGCTCAATTTTGATTCTTTTGATTTTCAGTCAATGCTCAATTTCATACATTTCAAGATTTTATACTTGGTTTGAAATATTAGATATTTTCTGAATTAATGCATATTAATGCCAGATGTCATGGGGATTCGTCTTTCTTAGTTTGAAAGATTTACTTAACTATAGTCACTGTGTATACTGTGTATTTGCTCTATGTTTGATGTGAGACCATTTCAAGTACTTATTTTCGATTTTGTCTCCTCTATTGGAGACTTGTTATAGTGGGTTAAAAATCCTAAGTGACTATATTTGTTTGTAAGTTTGCAGTTTTATACATAGTTGGAATTAGTGTTGCGGCATTGATTGTTGAGGATAGAAGAAAGGCTAACCTCAATTACTGTAAGTGTAAGTTTCTGCAATGTAGTGAGTCTAGATCAAATCAATCTAAGTGAAAACTAACAAACTCTGTTGAATGTTTCGGTTTCTTTTAAACCCGTTTTTATTTGAGGAAGATTGACTTAACTATGGTCTCTATATTTTTAAGTTGTTATAGTGTAATGAATGTTTATAAGGTTTTCAAGTATTAATTGAGATTGTTACCTAGCTTTAATATATGCTAAGAACAGTTGTTTGAAAAAAATAAAAGGGGGGTGGGGGGAGAAGAAGAGGAGGGGGGAAAGTGGTGAAGAGAGAAAAAAAAATGCCCTTCATCACTGTGTATTCCAAGTTATACACACTGGGAAGTTGGAATTAAATCATTCGAGAGTTGCATAAGTATGATAAACGTTACAATTGAGTGAAGTTGAAGGTTAGTGATAATCATTGTTCTTACTAGGTTTGTTTGTAAAAGTCATTTGTCTTTCACTATGGTTTCCTAAATTGATTATGGAATGCCTAATGAGCGCAATTAATATTGTGCGCATAAAGTCCGAAACTTGATTGAGTTTTGGGGAATTATACATGCTTAAGGATGGTTTTATATAATACTAACCATTATCTCTTATTATTGTTAGAGTTCATAGTTCCAGTGCATTTATATAGATCTCGTATCTTTCTCCAAGGTCATTTCAATGCGAAACAAAGCTTAATACTTGGTTTCAACTAGTTGGATATTAATCCCAGGTTAATGCATATTTATGCCAGATGTTATGGAGACCCGTTTTCTTTATGAGGAAGATTGACTTAAAGGACCACTATAGGCACCCAGACCACTTCAGCTCTGGGTGCCTGGTCCAGGTAGGTTTAACCCTTTTTTTTTTCTATAAACTTTTGAGAGAAACTGCTATGTTTATATTGGGGTTAATCCAGCCTCTAGTGGCTGTCTCATTGACAGCTGCTAGAGGCGCTTGCGTGCTTCTCACTGTGAAAATCACAGTGAGTAGACGCCAGCGCCCATAGGAAAGCATTTATAATGCTTTCCTATGAGACTGGCTGCCCGCGCGGCTCTTGCCGCGCATGCGCATTCAGAGGAGGAGGAGAGCTCCCTGCCTGGCGCTGGAGAAAGAGGTAAGTTTAACCCCTTCCAACCCATAAAGCCCGGCGGGTGGGGCACCCTCAGGGCCCTATAGTGCCAGGAAAACGAGTATGTTCTATGGTCTCTATTTTTAGGTTGTTATAGTGCAGTGAGTGTTGGTTTATAAAGTTTTCAGGTATTAATTGAAATTGTTACCTAGCCATAATATGTGCTAAGAACAGTTGTTTGAAAAAAAGGTGGAAGAAGGGGGAGGGGGAGAGAGAAAATGATCATCAACACTGTGTGTTTCAAGTTATAAACACTGTAAAGTTGGAACTAAATTATTCTGGAATTGCATAAGTATGATTGTCATAGACATGACAATTAAGTGAAGTTGTAGGTGGATCAATGTTAGTGATAATCGGTGTCCTACTGAGTTTGTTGTTTGTAAAATACATTTGTCTTTCACTATGGTTTCCTAAGTTAATTATGGAATGCCTAATCTTAGTCTAGGCTGCCTTGAGAAATTTTATCATTCTGGAAAATAGAAATATTTTAACATAATTTAATACTAGACTCATTGATGTATGAAAGGGGTAAAATTAAATTCCTCGTTGAGGCCTCCAGGTGTTTGTGTCTGGAATTCATAAATCAATTTAGACTCTTTCCGTAGTAACATCAAATTGAAATTACCTTTCCTAGAGTTAAAAATAACCTGTTATAGGGCGTGGAAGGTTAAACGGTTTGGATTTCCATCATGGGAGTAGTAAAGTTGAAGTTTTTAACGCAATTTACGTGTTGTTAAATTTGTCTCCTTAATTCCTGATATGTTTTGCCTATATATTGCAGTGCACACAAGCAAGTAAAAATGTAAACCGGTGTGGAACTGTAATTCATGAAATGGTAAATTCTGAAGTCGTTCTTAGTTCTTTCACTTTTTACTGATTTAGATGGTTTGACAAAGTTGCAGGCTTTGCAGTGGCCACATCTGTATACCCCCATTGTTTTGGTAAGCCAACTTAGTGGCAAGGGTTTCCTTTCTAAATGGCTATGCATAAGCATGTCTCTAAGACTTCTAGACCTGCAAGCTGTAGTATTGGGGTATTCTATTGTTTTTGGGTCAATGTCTGTGTCATATTGTAGAATTGGCCAGTGTTGGGAATTTTTTAAATTTTGAAAAAAATTTTTTTTATGGGTTCCCAGTGTAGGTCGAATGTTACAATACATCTGGTTTGAAGGTATAGGTCTAGTTGACCATAAGCTTGTTCCTCTATCTTGTGTCAGGGACCTTTTAAATGCTCTTTTCAGGATTCTGTTTGGATAACCTTTATCCTTGAATCTGGTTCTTAGTTTATTTGCCCCTACTAAGAAAGGCTCCTCATTTGAGCAATTTCTTCTGGCTCTAACATACTTTCCGTAAGATATACCTGCTTTTAATCGATACGGATGAAAGCTTTGCCAATGTAAGAGACTGTTTGATGCTGTACTTTTTCGGAAGAACTCAGTCTCTATTGATCCATCCATATTTAAAGGACCACTCTAGGCACCTGACCACTTAAGCTTAATGAAGTGGTCTGGGTGCCAGGTCCAGCTAGGGTTAACCCATTTTTTCATAAACATAGTTTCAGAGAAACTGCTATGTTTATGAATGGGTTAAGCCTTCCCCTATTTCCTCTAGCGGCTGTCTCATTGACAGCCGCTAGAGGCGCTTGCGTGCTTCTCATTGTGATTTTCCTAGGAAAGCATTATGAATGCTTTCCTATGTGACCGGCTGAATGCGCACGCTGCGAGGAGGATCGGAGGAGGAGAGCTCTCTGTCCAGCGCTGGAAAAAGGTAAGATTTTACCCCTTTCCCCCTTCCAGAGCCGGGCGGGAGGGGGACCCCGAGGGTGGGGGCACTATAGTGCCAGAAAAGAGTATGTTTTCCTGGCACTATAGTGGTCCTTTAATAAAATCCTCAGATCTAGGAATTCCAACTGTCTTTTGTGGATCATGTAGGTAAGTCGTAGTCCAGTTTGGTTGTTCTTTAGTTCTTGGATCATGTTATTGAAATCTGTATCTGATCCAGTCCAAAATAATAGGACATCATCAATGTATCTTGACCATTTGTGGATGAATCGATCGTATTTGCTCTTTATTTCTTTTAGTATCGTTTCTTCCCACCAGCCTAGATAGAGGTTTGCGTAGCTTGGGGCACAAGCTGTGCCCTGTAATTGGAGATATTTGCCATCAAAAACAAAAAAAAATGTGAGAATAAACTCCAAAAGTTGTAATGAGTTCAATTTGTTCAGAGTTAAATTTTGTAGATTTGTTTAAAAAGTATGATGTACCCCAAAACCCTTGTCATGGGGGATATTTTTAATTAAAGATACATCGAGACTTGCCAACAGTGTATATGGTGGAACAATTAGGTTTTCCAATATCAAAAGTGCTTGCTTGGTGTCCGGGACATATGAGTCCAGATTGATCACAAGCAGATGAAGCAGTTTTTCCAGGAATTTGCTCTCTCTCTCCATTAGTGAATTGTTACCGGAGATGAATGGTCTACCGGGGGGGGGGGGTCAGTGAGACATTTGTGGACCTTCGGTAGGCAGTAGAAGGTGGCAATAGTAGGATTGATGTTTGGAATTATGAATTGATATTCTTCATTTTTTATTAGGTTTTTCTCTACTGCCATTATTATTGTTGTTGTTGTTGTTATTGCCATTTATATAGCACCAAGAGATTCCGTAGCACTTTACAATATTATGAGAGGTGAGATTTAACTATAAATAGGACAATTAAAAGAAAACTTTTAGGAACGATAGGTTGGAGAGGACCCTGCTCAAACGATCTTATATTCTATAGGGCATGATTAGCAATGATCTTAAAGGGACACTCCAGGCACCCAGACCACTTCTGCCCATTGGAGTGGTCTGGGTGCCAACTCCCACTACCCTTAACCCTGCAACTGTAAATATTGCAGTTTTCATAAACTGCAATATTTACATTGCAGGGTTAACTCCTCCTCTAGTGGCTGTATACTAGACAGCCACTTGAGGGCACTTCCTGGTTTATAGCACATATTTTCTGTGCTATAGCGTCGCTGGATGTCCTCACGCTATGTGATGACCTCCAGCGTCACTGAAATCCCCATAGGAAAGCATTGAAAGCATTTTTTGAATGCTTTCCTATGGGGAAACAGTGTTTTCCTGGCACTGGAGTGTCCCTTTAACTCAGACAGGAACAGTTTAATAGGCTCCCGAAGTAGTCTTTTGAATTGGGTTTCGTCTTCCAGATGTTTCATGCACATTTTTACATATTTTTCTTGGTCCATGATGACTACATTTCCTCCTTTGTTTGAGGGTTTAATCACTAGGTCTTTATTTTTGCTTAAGTCCATTACTGCTTTTCTTTCTCCCTTTGATAGATTGTCCTTAGGATTATCAAATGGTGGAAGTGATTCTATGGATTTGATGGTCATCTGTACGAAGAGATCTACACTAGATATGTCTTAAAAATGTGGAGTTTACCAACTTTCAGGTTTACAATCAGTTAAAGGAACACTATAGTCACCTAAATAACTTTAGCTAAATAAAGCAGTTTTAGTGTATAGATCATTCCCCCTGCAATTTCACTGCTCAATTCACTGCCGTTTAGGAGTTAAATCACTTTGTTTCTGTTTATGCACCCCTAGCCGCACCTCCCCTGGCTATGATTGACAGCGCCTGCATGAAAAAAAAAAACTTTCACTTTCAAACAGATGTAATTTACCTTAAATAATTGTATCTCAATCTCTAAATTGAACTTTAATCACATACAGGAGGCTCTTGCAGGGTCTAGCAAGCTATTAACATAGCAGGGGATAAGAAAATCTTAATTAAACAGAACTTGCAATAAAGAAAGCCTAAATAGGGCTCTGTTTACAGGAAGTGTTTATGGAAGGCTGTGCAAGTCACATGCAGGGAGGTGTGACTAGGGTTCATAAACAAAGGGATTTAACTCCTAAATGGCAGAGGATTGAGCAGAGAGGCTGCAGGGGCTAGTTCTATACATTAAAACTGCTTCATTAAGCTAAAGTTGTTCAGGTGACTATAGTGTCCCTTTAAGGGTTGGTCTGTGTCTTGTTCATTTAGAAGTGACAGCATAGTTTGTAGGTGTTGGTGGTCTTCGTACGTCAGACCTAGTTCCTTCGCTAGTTTGTCTTTCTTTTTATGTATTGCACTTAGGGCTAATTTTTGTCCAAACAAATTTGTGTCTTTAACCCAATTGAATGTGTCTGTTTTGGGAGAGAGAATGAACGATAGATCTTTGCTTAATAGGGAGATATGTTTATTTTTAAGGCAAAAAGTTGAAAGGTTTATTATTAAATTATCTTCTGTGTTATTGTTAGCCCTTAGTTTTTGTACCCTTCTTTGTTTGTTTTGTACCCCCATCTCTTCCTGTCCATGAGTTTTCCTCCTTGAGGGAGAGGCCATTCCTGTTCTAAAAAAGATGGTACAGATGAGTAGGATGTAGATTGGGTTTGTGAATTATTGGTAGTAGTGATGGTTGAACTCAAGTATTGTGTATCAGGAAATGATACCTTTTTTCCCTGTGGTTTTCAATATGCCTTTTCTTCCATGTCTTGTGTAGTTGGTAGTTTTGAAAGTTTCCCTGCCACGTCTTTGAAAAGAGGGGCAGGGATTTGGGCCCAAAATAGGCACTGTCCTTTGTAAATAATGACGCTTGGGAGTTAAGCACCCAGATGCTGCCAACGAAGCAAGCGTGACGTTTCATAGAGGAGGTATGTCCTGATTGAGTATGTGTCTCCAAGCAGGACAAATTAAATAAGTGCGCGTGTGCAGACCATGTGATGACATACAGGAAAGAAAAAAGGGTAATAGGCGCTCACTATAGAAATTAGTGAATAAGCAGCAGTATACAAAACAAGAATTCACAAAACCTTGTGAATAGATAAAAAAAAGGGGGGGGAGGGAACGTAAACCGCGCTGTTATAAGTATAAATAGTACATACATATAATTGTAGATGATTCCAATGAGTCAGAAACCTTGGAATAAAATAGAAAAAATTATCGTGCAATACAGTAAAAATATATAACATGAAGTGGTGATTATAACTTTAACTCAATCCACTCACATTTGTATGAACTATAACAGAGCTCAGCTGTGATGCGCTTGGACGGTACGATCCCCGTCTCAGGATATGTTGTTCTTGTTGGTCCAAATATTTCAAAGTGCAGTATGCGTAGTAAAGAGAAATAGCAGCCAATAGTGAAGTAAGTACTAATGATGGAGCTTATAATAAATAGTAATGTACAATTTTTTGCGCATAAAACTTGCTCTAGTATAGACAGCTTAGGTGGTATAATCCCCACCAAGGATATACAGAATCCAGGAAGAAAAAAAATGAATATAAAAGTATCTATTAAAAAGTATACTTTAATATAAACAAAACATAGTATAAAACATAAAAATTATATAAAAATGTAAAGGAGAGTCCCACTTAATGCGTTTCACCTGGTAGGCTTCTTCAGAAGTGTGATGACATAGTAGAATTGGATTGTAGGTGAGCTGAATTATGACCTTACCACAAATAAAAAAAAAAATAAAAAAATAAAAAAAGCATCACGTGAAAAAAAGTTCAATACCAGTTATAGATAATTTTGAAAGTTCAGTGGTTTTACTTTCTAGAGAAGTAGTAATTTTCTATCTGTCTGGTCAGACTATTGTTCTCTTAATATATATATATATATATATATATATATATATATATATATATATAATGTTATTTAAAATTTCTGCCCTTTTCTGGTCTTGATTAAATAACATGCACATCTTTGTTTTCCGTGTACCTACACTTTTTTATTTTTTATTTTATGTATTTAAATGTTTTAGGTTGGTTTTGCTCTTTGGCTATCATTTTCTAGTTTAGCCATTCTTATTGCCTTTTTGCATGCATTGTATTCTATATATGTCTTATAGGATTCCTCTGATTTTTTATTTTTATTTTTTTTAATGCCCTTTTTACATTTTTAATATCTTGGTTTACTTTACCACTAAGCCTCATTGATTTTAATTTGTTTCTTTTATATTTATTACCCAATGGTAAATACTGAGACAAGCACCTTTCTAATATTTGTTTAAAGATATTCCATTTATTCTTAGTGTCTTTTTTTTTCTTTTCACTAAAGAGTTCATTCCAGCTTATAGGTTGTAAAGCTGACCATATCTTATTGAAATAGTTTTTTTACATGTACTTTTGCTTTAAGTTGATTTCAAAAGGTCATATTGTGATCACTATTTCACAAGTGCTCCCCTACTTGAATGTTGGTCAAAATATAAACATTGTTTGTTACAACCACATTCAGACAAGTGTCCTTTCTAGTTGTTGGGACATGCAGGTGTCATTTAACACATTCAAAACCCTAATTCCCGTTGCTCAACTGCTAGTCCCTGTACCCAGTTTATTTCCAGGTAATTAAAATCTCCAATAATTAATGCTATCCCCATTTGCTATAACAACTGTTATTCCTTACCAATATTAACATTAGGTGGTTTCTAATTTATCTCAACCAATAATTGATTTCCCTTTTTTGCCCCAAGCAGTTATCTACCCATAAACTTCCATGTTTTCCGCAACAAAAAGTTGACTTCATTTCATGGTTGACATATAAACATACCCCACCACCTTTCCTGTTTTTTTTAATATCCTTCCTAAATAAGTTAACTGCCCAGTCCTGTGTCTCACCTCACCATGCTACTGTTATACCTATTAAGCCACATTGCTCAGTATATGCTACTGCCTCTAGTTCTGCCATTTTGTTATTTATTTGTATTTGTAAGCATATATTTAATTTTATTATAAGTCACTTTTATTGTGACTTCTTATTACTATTACATACCTCCTCTGTTCTGATCTTTCCCCTTCTGTATCTCAACCCCTTGTGCTGAGCTAAAGCCCATTTCCTGTTTGTCCTATCTCTATTTTGTAGATTTGTGTCAAGATAGTGTTCTTTTAATAAAACCGAGGTTCACCTATTTTCAGGACTTAGCTCCTTAAGTATTCGTGGATGAATACCGTCAGGCCCTGGGACTTTGTTTATACTAACTTTCTTTAGTTGCTGCATCACCTTGTCTTGAGTCACCCAGTCACAATTTGTCTGCAAGCATTTTTCAGCAATAATTTGCATATCTCTTCCCATAGGATCTTTCCTAATATATTCTGAGGAAAAATAGTTATTTAAAATGTTTGCCTTTTCCTGGTCTTCATTAACTAACGCACATATGTTTTTCAGTGTACCTACACTTTCAAAATGAGTCAGATTGTATCCCTTTTACAGCTTGTATAAGTAGTCACAGAGTTTTACTCGCTGTATAGTCTCCATTTACTCCTGCTGTTCATATTATATTTTTTTTTCTTTTTCTTTTTTTTATATATTTTTATTTTAGATTTATTTATTAAAAGTTACTTTTCAATCTACAATCTTCTCAGTAAATCATACACAGGTAGAATGGCATTTGTTTCTTTTTTTGTTTATTCTCTATCAGATTGTATCCCTAAATAGGGAATTAGTCAATTCATTGCTGATTAGCACACTTATTGGGATTTTCCTAAACTGATTGCCAGATATTTCTAGATAAAGATAAATAATTTAGTTAAATTAAACAAAAACAAAAAAGTTTATTGGTTATCGTAGCAATAATGTTAAATATTAATAAATCCCCCTAATCAAGGTTGGATTAATGCCTAAGTGGTGATGGTGTATTAAATATAATTGGAGATACTCTAAGCAGCAACCGTTCAAGAGATCATTGAATGTAGGTAATTCACTGCTTGGTAGAACAACCTTTACATATCACATAAATATGGACATACATAGTTATCCAAAGGATCAGTGGGTACCTATGAGAACATAAGTGAGTACAATAGACTTTATGTTAAAGCTCAATAAGATGAAATACTATATGTACTGCCGATCTTAAACCCACTCTAGAAGTTCTGTAGGTAAAGTAATTACTGGAACTTGTTGTATAGCTCAGTTAAAACCTGGCAGGGTCACTCTATGGATGTCCTACTAGTCTGCTTAAAATACACAGAAAATAAACTGCTATCTGGTATGTGATTCCATAACCAGATGTTTTCTATATACAAATATTTATAAAGAACGGTTTAGGAGATTGACCGTAATGTTATCATATAACTATGAACAAAAGGGTATCACTGAAACCATTGATACATTCAAATCAATCTGTTAACCAAAAAAATACATAGAGTGAATTACAGTACGCAATGCCGATCAGCAGTGAAACACCAGAGTTAACAAGTGAAAAGAATACTTTGTATCCATTCCATTTTTTGTTAAGGCTTAGGTGTTACTCCCATCAATTTGTGTTCCCTTCTATAATTGGCTTGTTCCTTCTTTCATTTTTACCTACACTTTGATTTTTATTAAATTTTTTAGAACTTGTTTACCAAAAATAATTTTTTTTGTGCTGGATTTACTTTCTTTCGCTATTACTTTCTAATTTTCTAGTTTAGTTCATTTATTCTCCTTGGCATGCTTTATTGGCCTCCTTATATGTTTTATAGAATGCCTCTGATTAGATTGAAAAACCCCTTTTCTTATTTGTAATTTATTGGTTTACCTTCCCGCTAAGCCAGATTTGTTTCAATTTCCTTATTTGATATTATCAGTACATAATGAGAAAAGTGTACCTTTCTGTTAATTGTTTGAAAGAGATCCTATTTATCCTCAGTGTTTTTTTTTGTTTGTTTTGTTTTTTGTTTACTAAAGCGTATATGCCAGTCAGTTGATAGATGAAGTCACTAGGCTCCACATTATCATTGTACATACATAAGTGTAAAATGGGGAAGAGAATATCATGCAAGTTAACAGGATCTTCCACAGGTCTTCTCATGCTTGTATAATGAGATATAGGTTTCTATTGCCCATAGTGCAAGAAGATGCAAGTTCCAATCCTCTGTCTCGAGTGAAGGTTGATGAGAATTGGCAAGACTCGACCAGCATAAGATGATTTAAAGTGTCACTTTCTGACCTAGTTTGAATGTTTTGTGCATAAGGCACAATATTCCTTACTTAGTCTTTTAATATCTTTTGACAATTGGAGTTTCAGTGATTTTGCAGAACATTTATATATGTATTGAAAAACTAATAATTAGCCATTTCCCATTAAACTAATGCATTTATTTATTTTAATGGAAAATAAATCTAATAAATGACTCTATAGGCATCCAGACCACTTTGTTTCAATGAGGTTATCTGGGTGCCATGTCCACCCGTTTTAACCCTACAGCTGAAAACATTACATGTATAATGTGTTTTCATTGCAGCATTTGAATGCCTCTAGTGACTGTCACCCAGACAGCCACTAGAAGTGCCTCCACTGAAAAAGTAGAGTAGAACTCAGCTGTTTCTAGCAGATGGTCTTAAAGAGACAGTCTGGTGCAGTGCAACCTTTTGCCATACATGTCCACTAGCCTCCCAGTGCTTCCCTATGGGAAAGCATTTTCTTGATTGAGATCATTGATCTCAATATTATCAGCCAAGGAAGGGCGCCAGCAGCGGGGACCTGTACTGCGAGAGAGAAAAGGTAAGTAAAGTTACCTTTAATACTCCCTGCAGCATTGTATTCCTTTAGCATTAGTAATCCAAATATTATTGCAATTACTCGTATGTGCTCATACGAAAATAAATTATCATTGACTTTATTTAATACAGATATAAAAAAAAGAGCATGTGCTTTAAGTTTATACATGCTTTAGTCTTTCTGATCTCTACTGCACTTTACAGTCTGTACTGCAGCTAAATAACCACAGGTTATACAGGTCTAGTAGTCTGTTCGTAGGACATGCAATAAATAGAACAAGTAAAATTCCCTTGAAATAATTTGAGAATTGTTTTAATTAATTTTTATATGCTTATATGTATTACATTTTTAGAAAACAATGCATTCGTTCTCTTTACACTTCTAAATACCTTTTTAAAAGTTTACATGTGTCCGCTTTAAATACCTGTAAGATTCCTTTGGTTTTATTAGATTGCTTTAACTATTTTCACTTTTGATTTCTTTTTAGGTTGAACGAATTGTTGACAAAAGGAAAAATAAAAAAGGAAAAGTAGAATACTTGGTACACTGGAAAGGATATGACAGTGGTGATGATACTTGGGAACCAGAGCAGCATTTGGTTAACTGTGAGGAATATATCCATGAATTCAACCGAAGACACAATGAAAAGCCAAAAGACAACAGTACAATCACAAGAGCAAACAGGACATCTCCAAATAATGCCAGAAAACAAATTTCTAGGTCAACCTATAGTTCATTTTCAAAGACTTCTCCAAAGTCATTGACATTTGGTAAAGACAATGACTCAAAAAATAACCAACTTCTTAGTATTAGTCCAAAATTACGCAAGAGTCCTTCTCAAGCTATTCCAGTAAGAAAAAACATGGACCTTTCTAGATCTGGTATTAAAATACTTGTGCCTAAAAGTCCAATTAAAAGTAGGATCTCTGATGGCTTTCAAAATGACAGTACAGAAAAATTAAATCATCTTGAACAAGAACAAGACTCTGTAGCGCCTGAGGTAACAGCTGAGAAACCAGTAGGTGCTTTACTAGGACCTGGTGCTGAAAGAGCTCGAATGGGAAGCAGGCCAAGACCACAGTCATTAGTACCACAAATTCATATGCCACTGACCGTGACTGCATCATCCGCTTTAGCGATAAACGGGAAAGGTAAGAGATTGTCACATCGTATTTATTATGCTTTGTCAGATTCCCCTTTTTTGTCTAATTTTGCAATCCCTTCATTCACGAGATTACCTCTGTAAAGTTTCAAAGTGAGATGCGACAATTATTTAAAAAAAAAAAAAGAGAAAATTTAAAGTCCTTTGATTTCTTGTGTTTCTAATTGTTTTGATTGGAGATGAATAAAGCAGTAAGGTTATTCACTTGTTATAATATAAATAAAATGGGCAGGTCAATTAAGTAAGCAAAGTAAATATTTATAATATCAAATCTTAACCCCTTAAGGACCGAGGACGGTTCAGGACCGTCATCGGCATTTTTGCGTTGCCGACCGATGACGGTCCTGAACCGTCCTAACGGTCAGAGCTACTTACCTGATCGCCGTCGTTCCCCCGGCGGCGATCAGCGTGGCTCCGGTTGTGGGGAGACTGCCTGCAGCCCAGACAGTCTCCCCGCGGCAGATTAGGACCCCTGTGGCCATGTGATCGCTTAACACAGCGATCACATGGTCACAATAGGTGTCCATGTGTCTGCCTGCAGGGGGACTGCCTGTGCTGACAGGCAGTCTCCCTGCTAGTGTAAAATCAATTAAAAAAATAAAGTTAGTGTTAATAAAAAAAAATAAAAATAATTATATATGTGTATATATGATATATAGACATATATTATACCTATATAATATATGTCTATATATCATATATATAATGTCATACTAAGTGTATTTTTATATTAATATGTACTTATATTAATATAAAAATACACTTATAATTAAATTACACACGTATATATATAATATATATAATAACTATATATATTGTATATATATATTATTATAAAATATAAATAATAAGTAATTTAAATTAAATAATTTTTTTTTAAATAATAATAAAAAATTTTAAAAAAATTATATAGCTATATGAAATTTTATTCTAACTGTATTTTAAAATTAATATATATATATTTATATCAAAATACACTTAGAATGAATTTGTATATATATCTATGTATATAAAAATAAATAAAAATAAGAAATATACATACGTCCATATACAAAATTACATAAATAATTATATAAATATACACGTAGACTTCAAATATATAAATATGCATATATATTTAAATTCTACGTGCGTATTTATGTAATATTTTTACATAATTCAGTAATTTTATTGATTGCAATTTGAGGGACCTGCCTGCCAACCCAGGCCGAAATTCCAGAGAATTTAATTTGCTAGCACTGTATTTTACCCTGTAACGTTCTACGACACCCTAAAACCTGTACATGGGGGGTACTGTTTTACTCGGGAGACTTCGCTGAACACAAATATTAGTGATTCAAAACAGTAAAACATATCACAGCGATGATATTGTCAGTGAAAGTGACTTTTTTTGCATTTTTCACACACAAACAGCACTTTTACTGATGATATAATTGTTGTGATACGTTTTCCAGTTTTTAAACACTAATATTTGTGTTCAGCGATGTCTCCCGAGTAAAACAGTACCCCCCATGTACAGGTTTTATAGCATTTTTGAAAGTTACAAGGTCAAATATATGGGTCAAATATTTTTACATTGAAAATGGCCAGGTTGGTTACGTTGCCTTTGAGAGCGTATGGTAGCCCAGGAATGAGAATTACCCCCATGATGGCATACCATTTGCAAAAGAAGACAACCCAAGGTATTGCAAATGGGGTATGTCCAGTCTTTTTTAGTAACCACTTGGTCACAAACACTGGCCAAAATTAGCGTTCAATTTAGTTTTTTTACTTTTTTCACACACAAACAAATATGAATGCTTACTTTGGCCAGTGTTTTCGACTAAGTGGCTACTAAAAAAGACTGGACATACCCCATATTGAATACCCTGGGTTGTCTACTTTAAAAAAAATATGTACATGTGGGTGTTATTCAGAGATTTATGACAGATAATAGTGTTACAATGTCACTATTGATAAATTTTAAAATGTATGTTTTGAAACCGCAATATCCTACTTGTACCTATAGCCCTATAACATGCAAAAAAAAGCAAAAAAGCACGTAAACACTAGGTATTTTTAAACTCAGGACACAATTTTGAATCTATTTAGCAGTTTTTTTCATTCGCTTTTGTAGATGAGTAAAAGATTTTTCAAGTAAAAGTCAAAAAACATGTATTTTTTTCAATTTTTCATCAGATTTTTGTATTTTTTTTAAATTAAAATACATGAGATTATATAAATAATGGTATGTAAAGAAAGCCCATTTTGTCCTGAAAAAAACAATATATAATTTGTATGGGAACAGTAAATAAGAAAGCGGAAAATTACAGCCAAACACAAACACCACAAAAGTGTAAAAATATGCCTGGTCGCAAATGTACAACATCGCAAAAACAGTCCAGTCCTTAAGGGGTTAATATTGTTTGTCTTTTTATACTTGCAATGATATTAAAACTTTCTCCAGAGTATAATACTCCAAATCTTGAGTCCGTCTTAGAGATCTAAAATGCAATTATGCACTAGCAGGTCTTAATATTTTTCCTGCGCACGACAAAAAGGCAGAACTACCTTATGTCAATCCTCTGTGTATGGCAGGCGTTCCAGCAGTCCCGATTTCAGCCTGACAGTCATGATTCTGGATCCTGTCCTGCTTCAGTTCCCTGGTGTCCCGTAACAAAGGATACCAGGAAGTTGTCTCCTGGCAGCACAGTTCTCATGCGTCATTAGATTTCCTTGCATTGTGCAGTGGGTCCTAGAACCATGCAGGAAGCACTTCAACAGTGCTCCCTGCATGGTCCTCACAGGTGGTTGCCAGCCAGATAACATGTCAATGGGCAGACCTGCCTCTTGCTGATGAGCATCACCGGTGTCGCAGGTGACATCACTTATAATGGCCCTGCCCACTGTGTCCAGATTCCATTCCCCCCCTATTGTTGGGAGTTAAGTCTGTAGAGGATCCTGCAGTGGCCATGAGTGATAAGTTCTGGTAATATCACTTGCCTTCCCCTGCACCCCTTGGAAACTCTACATCCAGCGACAGTCACCGGCAAGGGACAAAGTTTACGTATATGTTGGCATTTATAGTTCCCTGAATGAACTGTAGCTCCACAGTGCCGGCATCACTCATGCAGGCAGACCATGAAACTTGCTTGACTGTAGGTAAGACACTTGTCTTTGTACTCCTCACTGGCAGAATTAAAAGTTAATCCAGCACGCAGAACTGTGTCACACCTAGGACTTAGTATAACGTGTAACGGCACCCCGGGCATAAAAGGGGTTAAACGCCGTTTAGGAGATATTCCCTTCCAGATATACAGGCAGCTACTGTAGACACCAATCCACCAAACTGGAGAAGCATATGAATGCTCTCAAACATACGAATACTATAAACAGCCGAATAGGAAAAAAACATACGAAAGGTTTACACTCCTAGCAGTTGAACTGGAATAGCATACAATAAATCCCCCCCCAAGAACGAGATGAATCTCCGTGTTGAGGGTCAAACAGTGATCAGACAGAGCTGTGGGTTTATTGTTGTTATATACACATTATCACACATTAGTACCACCCACAGGGTTTTGGAAAACAGCCAATAAACACGTACAATACACTCAGACACTCCCACACAAAATCCTCCCCTCTGCCTTTGATACAATTACCTTACACAATGGGTTAATGTAATTATCACAGGCAGAGAAATACAGTTTTTCCACATTATTCATAACTTTAAAAGTATACATCACATAAAGCTTACATTTTCAGAATCCACATACTCCAAATACAAACATATATGTCAAAATCATCCAAATTGGTCCAATGGTTCAACAGATAGATCAAAGTCCTTTGTGACCAAATGAAGCATGGCTTTTCTGCCCAAAATCAGTTCCACAGAGTCTTCTATCCTGGAGATAATTGTGAAGTAATCAAATTATCTCCAAGAGCAGAGGCAAAACTCCATTGAACACATGGTAGCAAAAGACAATAAAATACATAAAAATACACAAGGTTACATTTGTTACATAAAATACAGACATGCAACATATCCCCAAATAGCTTGGGTCTAAGCACACAATATTACTGAATGGCGCTCAGACTACACATATACAGTTCAATTGCCATGGAGCCAAAGTCTTTTATTACACGAATAGGCTCCATGGCATAGCTATCTGGGTTAAATTAGTTCATTCAGTAAATCCGAGAATCTACTGAGCGCCGGGGCAGAAATACATGAATAGACCTTTCTGCATAGGAAAATAAAGTATTTAAATGCCGGTCCATAGTCAAAAGGCAGCAGGCAGGCAACCAGGCTCCTCAAATGCACAGTGGCGAGATTGGTCTCGTCACATAACGTATAACCGGACCTTCGAATGGCCGGACTTAACGTATCCAAGAATTGTCAAAATACTTGCCGAGGTCAGGAACACCGAATCAGACACAACGGTGGGGGAAAGCTTAAAGTCAAGGGTACCAGAATTCAGGGAAGTCAAAACGAAGCCAAAGTCACATACCAGAAAATCAAGATCAGGAACACACTCTCGGATTACCATCAAGATGAAACCACAACAGGCCAATGAGCAAGAGGAGAATTGGGTTTAAATACCCCTCCTGTGGATCCGATTTGGCTGTAACAAGCCTTTGACCCCAAAAGCAAGTACCAGGTTTCCATGTGCATAATTGCTGCTCGGCACAACTTTTCCTGTCAGGACGGTAATGTTGCTCGGCACACCCTTTCCTGTCAGGACAGTAAATGCCATTAACCACATTTTTATGTTCGGATGGATACGTGATATTACCCCCTACCTGAAGACCGCCCACCGGGCGGGCAGGACCAGGTTTGAGAGGAAACTTGGCATGAAAAGAACAAATTTTATAAGCATGGATATCAGAAGCTGAAACCCAAGAACAGTCAGCAGGCCCCATACCCCCTCCAATCAACCAAATACTATAAGGAACCCTGAGAAAACTTGGAATCCATGATGGAGGAGACTTCGTACTCCTCCTGTCTAGAAACAAGCAAAGGAGGATGGGGAACAACCCGACTTGTGTACCGATTGCAAACAAGCGGTTTGAGCAAGGACACATGAAAAGTATTGGGTATACATAAGGACGCTGGAAGGGCCAGAGAATAAGAAACAGGGTTGATCCTCCTAACCACACGAAAAGGACCAAGGAACCTTGGCGCAAACTTAATGCTGGGAACCTTCAACCTGATGTTGTGTGAGGATAACCAAACCCGATCACCCACCTGGTAAACTGGATTGGCACTCCGCCGTTTATACGCATGAAACGTAATGCAAGCAGCTGCAGTTTCAAGAGCGTAGTGAACCTTAGTCCAGGTATAACAAATAGAGGTAAGGTGATCGTCCAGAGTAGGAATAGCCATATCAGAAAACACAGCAGGGAGAACAGCAGGATGACGACCTGTATTGACAAAAAACAGACTATGCCCAGATGGGTCATGGGTAGCGTTATTCCTTGCAAATTTGGCCGAGGGCAATAATTCAGCCCAGTTAGACTGTGTACTATTAACGAAGCAACGTAAATACAGCTCAAGTGATTGGTTAGCTCTTTCAGCCGTACCATTAGTTGGGGATGGTAAGCAGAGGAAAATGACCATTGAATGCCCTCCAGAACCGTGAAATTGGGAACCCCTATCAGACACAATATTTTGAGGAAAACCATGTAGCCTGACAATATCGCGTATAAATATGTGCACCAGGTCCTGAGACGATGGCAATTTTTAAAGTGGAGTAAAGTGTGTCATTTTGGAAAAACTGTCAACTTCCATGAGGATGGTTGTATACCCATTGGAACTAGGCAGTTCAACAATGAAATCCATCGATAAATGAGACCATGGGATACTAGGTATTGTAAGTGCCTGTAACAATCCACACGGAAGTTTATGAGGATCCTTTGAAACTGCACAGACAGAGCAGGCTTCTACATAATCTTTAATATCCCTCCTGAGTGACTCCCACCAAAATGACCTGGAAATGGCGAATACAGTTTTATTAATACCCGGTCACATTGTCATGGAATACCTTCAGCACCCCTTTCCTGTCAGGCAATGGAATAAACAATTTATCTTGAGGTTTGTTGCAAGGTGCCTGGGGCTGATACTCCATGATAGCACAGAGTAAAGTGGACGATAAAGAAAGGACAGTGGATGCAATAATACACTCAGGAGAAATAGTGGGAGATGTCTCTTGTTCTAGATCCCATTCAATTTCAAATTGCCTAGACAAGGCGTCAGCTTTAACGTTCTTAGAACCGGGTGTGTAGGTGATGATGAAGTTAAAGCGAGGCAAAAATAATGACCATCCAGCTTATCTAGAAGACAGTCGTTTGGCATCCCCAATATATGCCAGGTTCTTGTGATCCATAATCATCATAATGGGATCCTTGGAACCCTCCAAAAGATGTCGCTATTCCTTAAGCGCTAGTATGATGGCTAACAGTTCTCTATTACCAATGTCATAGTTACACTCGACAGTGTAGCGTTACTTACCTTAACCGGGGGCCGGTCGCGGTCCTCTCTTCAAGCCGCGCGCGGTCCTGCGGCTGCACGAGCCGCGCGCGGCTCATCCAACTACTTCGGATGGAGGGCGGGCAGTGACCGCGTGAGGCGGTCACGTGTCCCGCCTGAATCTAAGAGCGCGCCGCGAGTCTCGGGCGCGCTCTTAAAGGGACAGTGGGTGCCTAAATTGGAAAAGGCATCCCATTGGTCCCTGTCATGCCACACTCCCCATACACTTACCTTTTGGGGGCGTGGATATGACAGGGACCAATCAAATTAGATGTTTAGGTATTTATACTCACCTTCTTCCCTTTGTTCCTTGCCCTATCGTGGTTTCTGTTTCAGTTCCCTTTAGCGCTTGTGGTGTTCAGTTGTGTTTTCTCGTATTGACTTTGGCTTCGTATTCTGACTTCGTTTTCGCTTTATCCTTATCTGTACTGTTTGCCGGCTTGCTGTTTTCCGTGTACCAGACCCCGGCTTGTCCTAGTTTACGCTGTCTCTCTGTGCCCTTGACCTCGGTTTGTTCCTGGCTCTGTCTTCTCTCATATACGTCAAGTCCGGCCATTCTAAGGTCCGGTAGACGTATCTCTCCTCTGTATTTGCCTCTGTTTAGCTGGATCCTGCGTGTAGGGGTATATTCTCGTTACATTACGATAGGGCCATGGACCCCGCAGATTTAGCTCAACAGATGGCGTCCCATGAGGCAAGATTTGTAGAGCAGGATCACCGTATGGATCAAATAGCTCAGGCTCTCCAGACGCTCCTAGCTAGAACCGTTCCCGCAACTACACCTAACCCTCCTACGCCCCTTCTCCCTGAAGTATCTACTTTGCCTAATACTTCGGCCCATTTAACACCTCCTCCTAGGTATGGAGGGGACTCTAAGACTTGCAGAGGGTTTATTAATCAGATTGAATTTCACTTTGAAATGTATCCACGTTCATTTCCCACAGAGAGGTCTAAGGTTGGGTTCTTTATGCACCAACTTACCGATAAGGCACTTGAGTGGGCAAATCCTATTTGGGAAGCTAATGGGCCTATGGTACATGATTTCAACAGTTTTCTTACGGCTTTTCGTAGAACTTTTGACACAATGAAAAGGTCAAAGAATGCCGCAAGAGCATTAATGAGAATTAAACAGGGTTCTAGGTCTGTGGCTGATTATGCTATTCAGTTTCGCACTCTTGCTTCGCAGGTAGATTGGACCAACAATGGGTTAACTACTGCCTTTATGGAAGGTTTGTCAGATACGATATTGGATGAGGTAGCAGCTAAGGAGCTTCCTATTGCCTTAGAGGACCTTATCGATTACCTCATCGATATTGATAATAGAATTCGTGACAGGCTCTATACCAAGAACAGGAATAGACGTTTTGTTACACCCATTAACCCCAGAGTTAATATACCAGAGAGTGTTAAAGTGTCTGAGGAGGAACCTATGCAATTAGGGGTTGCCAAACTCTCTGACACTGAGAAATTACATAGGAGAAGGGAGGGACTCTGCCTATACTGTGGTAGGAGAGACCATATGGTAAAGGAATGTCCTTTACTCCCGGAAAACTCTCGCACCTAAGACCTTATAGGGGACTGGCCTTGGGTGTGATATCTAAGTCTCCTAAATTGCCTCCTAACCGCTTGCTTCTCCCGGTTTCTTTATATATGGGAGAGATTTGTATAGTTGACAACATATATGCTCTGGTTGACTCTGGGGCAGCTGAAAATTTTATAGACTCTGGCTTTATAAAGAGAAACAACATTCCCATCAGAGAGAAGGAGATACCCTTGGCCGTTGAGGCCATAGATGGTAGACCATTAAGTTCTCCAGTTGTTACTCATGAGACTGAACCACTACACATGTACACAGGGGTTTTACACTACGAAACCATTCGATTCCAGGTTATCACCTCTCCCTCTTCACAGTTAGTATTAGGGTATCCATGGTTACGTGCTCACAATCCCATTTTTGACTGGGAGACAGGGCAAATAAAATCATGGAGTAAGGCCTGCCACGAGTCTTGTACGTTGGAAGTCACACCTTTGAATTCTATTGAGGTACCTACCAGTCCTCCTTTGTCTATGGTTATACCCCCTCAGTATTTATCTCTAAAGACTGTTTTCGATAAAAGGGAGGCTGAGAAATTACCGCCTCACAGACCCTATGATTGCGCTATTGACTTGTTGCCTGGCACTATACCTCCAAAGGGCAGGGTGTACCCCTTATCGGTTCAAGAAAACCGTGTCATGGAGGAGTACATCAAGGAATCATTAGAAAAAGGGTTTATTAGGAGATCCTCTTCTCCAGCTGGAGCAGGGTTCTTCTTTGTATCGAAGAAAGAAGGTGATTTAAGACCGTGTATAGATTATAGAGGTCTAAACAAAATCACTATCAAAAATGCATACCCTATACCTTTGATTACAGAATTATTTGACAGGCTGAAACATGCCACTGTGTTCACTAAATTAGACCTTAGGAATGCATACAATTTGATACGTATAAAGGAAAATCACGAATGGAAGACTGCATTCAACACTAGATCCGGTCATTACGAATACACTGTTATGCCATTTGGGCTTTGCAATGCCCCAGCAGTATTCCAAGAATTTATTAATGATGTATTGAGAGATTTTATTCACACATTTGTTATCGTATACTTGGACGACATTTTAATATATTCTGCAGATATACACACTCATCACAGACATGTTACGACAGTTTTGAAGACCCTTCTTGCTAATGGTCTTTATTGCAAGCTAGAAAAATGTCTGTTTGACCAAACCGAAGTCCAGTTCTTGGGGTATTTGATTTCCGCTAAAGGTTTTCGTATGGATCCCCAGAAGCTAGCTGCTGTAATAGAATGGCCTCTACCGCAAGGTCTGAAAGCTATTCAGCGTTTTCTTGGGTTCTCCAATTATTATAGACGTTTTATCAAAGGTTTCTCGTCCATTGTAGCACCTATCACCCGTATGACTAAAAAGGATGGCAATACTCGTGTTTGGTCTACTGAGGCACTTCAGGCTTTTGAATTTCTTAAAACTACGTTCGCCTCTGCACCTATTTTACAGCATCCTGTCCCCTCACTGCCCTATATACTTGAAGTTGATGCTTCGGATATTGGGGTAGGTGCTGTCTTGTCCCAAAGAGAGTCGCCTGAGAAGCCATTGCATCCATGCGGCTTCTTTTCTAAACAAATGTCCAAAGCAGAGAAAAATTATGATGTGGGTAATCGTGAACTCCTTGCTATTATTTTAGCACTTAAAGAGTGGAGACATTTGTTAGAGGGAACTAAGGATCCTATCCTCATTTTTACGGATCACAAGAACCTATCCTATCTTAGCGAAGCCAAAAGATTGTCTTCCAGGCAGGCTAGGTGGTCACTATTTTTGTCTCGCTTCAATTTTATTATCACCTATAGGCCAGGTGATCGCAACACTAAAGCAGACGCTCTGTCCAGACAGTTCGAAACTACTGACAAACAGGAGATTGATGTTACTCCTGTCATTCCCCAGACAGGATAATAGCTACTACTATTTTGTCTATTTCCTCGTCCCTCTTGCAGACCATACAAGCGAAACAAAGCATGGCACCTAGCGAGAGGCCTAATGATAAACTGTTCGTTGATGTTCCTGAGAGACGGGATATCATGTCATTATATCATGATACTAAGACCGCTGGACATCCTGGTATTTCCAAAACGGTGTCAGCTGTTTCTCGGTATTTTTGGTGGGATTCCTTACGAAAGGATGTCACCGACTATATAAGTGCTTGTACTACTTGTGCCTGTATGAAATCCTCCCGTAGAGTTCCTTGTGGGCTGTTGCATCCGTTACCCGTTCCCGAGAGACCTTGGTCTAACCTGTCCATGGATTTTATTGTTGAATTACCCCCTTCAAATGGTAACACAGTAATCTTGATGATAGTGGATCGGTTCTCCAAAATGGCTCACTTCGTGTCTCTTCGCAAGTTGCCCACATCTAAGGAACTGGCTCATATCTTCGCTAGAGAAGTATTTCGATTACATGGGATTCCCGTATCTATTGTATCCGATAGGGGTAGCCAATTTATTTCCAGGTTCTGGAGGGCCTTTTGTTCAGAAATGGGTATTTCTCTCTCATTTTCTTCCGCTTATCATCCCCAGTCTAATGGGGCTGCTGAACGTGCCAACCAGTCTCTGGAGCAATACCTCCGTTGTTTTGTGTCTCACCATCAGGACAATTGGTCTGACCTGCTTCCTTGGGCTGAATTTGCTCGGAATAACGCCACTCATGATTCTTCCGGCAAGACCCCTTTTTACGTTGTCTATGGCCAGCATCCCGTTGTTCTTCCGGCTGCATTCTCCTCACAGGGCATGCCAGTTCTGGATGAGCATTTGGCTGGTTTGCGTAATACTTGGGAGCAGGTTCAGCGTTCTTTGGTGGACTCTGCTACTCGCCAGAAGGCTCAGGCTGACAAGCATCGCAGAGCAGCTCCGTCCTATGTTGTGGGGGACAGGGTTTTGCTTTCCACGCGGAATATTCGTCTCCGGGTGCCTTCTATGAAATTGGCTCCCCGCTTCATTGGACCTTATCGTATTATACATAAGGTTAATCCTGTTTCTTATGCCTTAGGCCTGCCTAAGAATCTACGTATTCCTAATGTTTTTCACACCTCATTGTTGAAACCTTTCGTACGCAACCGCTATACCCGGCATACTCCTCCTCCCCCTCCTATCTCGGTGGAGGGTCATGAGGAGTTTGAAGTGTCTGCTGTTCTTGACTCTCGTTTCCTTAGGGGTCGACTTCAGTACTTGGTACATTGGAAGGGTTATGGGCCTGAGGAGCACAGTTGGATTTCGGCTGATGCTGTCCATGCTCCCCGTCTTGTGCGCTCTTTCCATTCTCGTTTTCCTGCCAGGCCTGGTCCTACCCGCCCGGGGGGCGTGTCCTCAGGGGGGGGTACTGTAGCGTTACTTACCTTAACCGGGGGCCGGTCGCGGTCCTCTCTTCAAGCCGCGCGCGGTCCTGCGGCTCATCCGACTACTTTCGGATGGAGGCGGGCAGTGACCGCGTGAGGCGGTCACGTGTCCCGCCTGAAACTAAGAGCGCGCCGCGAGTCTCGGGCGCGCTCTTAAAGGGACAGTGGGTGCCTAAATTGGAAAAGGCATCCCATTGGTCCCTGTCATGCCACACTCCCCATACACTTACCTTTTGGGGGCGTGGATATGACAGGGACCAATCAAATTAGATGCTTAGGTATTTATACTCACCTTCTTCCCTTTGTTCCTTGCCCTATCGTGGTTTCTGTTTCAGTTCCCTTTAGCGCTTGTGGTGTTCAGTTGTGTTTTCTCGTATTGACTTTGGCTTCGTATTCTGACTTCGTTTTCGCTTTATCCTTATCTGTACTGTTTGCCGGCTTGCTGTTTTCCGTGTACCAGACCCCGGCTTGTCCTAGTTTACGCTGTCTCTCTGTGCCCTTGACCTCGGTTTGTTCCTGGCTCTGTCTTCTCTCATATACGTCAAGTCCGGCCATTCTAAGGTCCGGTAGACGTATCTCTCCTCTGTATTTGCCTCTGTTTAGCTGGATCCTGCGTGTAGGGGTATATTCTCGTTACAGACAGGAGACAACTTTCTGGAGAAGTAACCACAAGGATGCAAAGGGGCATCCTGACTCTCTGTGAGAAAGAACAGCCCCGACCCCTGTCTCGGAGGCGTCAACCTCAAGTAGGAAATATTAGGGAAATTGCAGAAGGTCTTGATGGAAAGTTATGTCTTTTTGCTGATGATACCAAGATATGTAACAGGGTTGATGTTACAGGAGGGATAAGACAAATGGCAAATGATTTAGGTAAACTAGAAAAATGGTCAGAGTTGTGGCAACTGAAATTTAATGTGGATTAGTGCAAGATAATGCACCTTGGACGTAAAACCCAAGGGCAGAGTACAGAATATTTGATAGAGTCCTAACCTCAACATCTGAGGAAAGGGATTTAGGGGTGATTATTTCTGATGACTTAAAGGTTGGCAGACAATGTAACAAAGAAACCGGAAATGCTAGCAGAATGATTGGTTGTATAGGGAGAGGTGTTAGCGGTAGAAAGAGGGAAGTGTTCATGCCATTGTACAGAACACTGGTGAGACCTCAGTTGCAGTATCGTACGCAGTACTGGAGACCGTATCTTAAGAATGATGTTGATACTTTAGAAAGAGTTCAGAGAAGGGCTACTAAACTGGTTCATGGATTGCAGGATAAAACTTAACAGTAAAGGTTAAAGGATCTTAACATGTATAGCTTGGAGGAAAGACGAGACAGGGGGGATATGATAGAAACATTTAAATACATAAAAGGAATCAACACAGTAAAGGAGGAGACTATATTTAAAAGAAGAAAAACTACCACAACAAGAGGACGTAGTCTTAAATTAGAAGGGCAAAGGTTTAACAATATCAGGAAGTATTACTTTACTGAGAGGGTAGTGGATGCATGGAATAGCCTTCCAGCTAATGTGGTAGAGGTTAACACAGTAAAGGAGTTTAAGCATGCCTGGGATAGGCATAAGGCTCTCCTAGCTATACGATAAGGCCAGGGATTAATGAAAGCATTTAGAAAATTGGGCAAACTAGATGGGCTGAATGGTTATCTGCTGTCACATTCTATCTTTCTATGTTTTCCTGTCAGGACAGTACATGCCATTAACCACATTTTAATGTGCGGATGAATACGTGACACTCACCTTGTTGCTGCCGCACACGCTTGACACCATGTGAACCGAATAAGTTTATCTTGGTCTCATCTGAGCACAGGACATGGTTCCAGTAATCCATGTCCTTATATATATAGAATCTCTCACACACTTGTAAATTTGTGACTATAATTCTAAGATCCACATACAGTGATATAAAAATTACAACTTAAAGTTATTACAAAAAAAAAGGGTTAACCCAAGCTGGACCTGGCACCCAGACCACTTCATTTAGCTGAAGGGGTCTGGGTGCCTATAGTGGTCCTTTAAGGGCAAGTCCAGCTTCTGAAACTGTGTCCTTTAAGTGGCTTGCTACCTCCTTAACCTTACCGTATTGGCCCGGCCCTTAATCCGCCTCCTTGGTGACTTCATTAGAATTTACAATTTATAGCCAATCTATGGGAAAGCATTGGCTTGTCTGAAATCGACAAAGATTGGGGCGGGGCCAAACGGTGTTGAATCAGTGCATCTCCATGAGGAAAATTCAGCTTCTCCATGCAGAGCGTGGAGACGCAGAATGGTAGTGCTGCTTATTGTGCGGCACTGCCCCAGGAAGCCCAACTAGTGGACATCTGAGTGGCCGACACTGGAGATGTCCCTAGGGGGCAATGTAAACACTGCCTTTTCTCTGGAAAAGACAGTGTTATGCATGAAAATGCCTGAAAGGGAATGATTATACTCACCAGAACAACTACAATAAGCTGCTTCTGTTCTGGTGGCTACAGTATTCTTTTAAAATGCAACTCTTACACGGTAAACACATTTGAGTGACATGCATGATTTAGTTTAGTCCAGGAGTTCCCAATAAATTTTTCCTGTGGAACCTTTTGACATCGTGGACCCTCCCTTCCCCCCAAAAAAAACAACTGCGCCATTTTTTGTATGTGCCGGTGTGTGTCAAGGTGTTGTTTGTAGGTGTCCGTGTATCAAAGTGTGTGTGTGTATATCTGACACACACACACACGCACATAAAATCACAGATACACACACTGACCCACAGATTCACACACCTTGACACACAGTGTGTATCTGTGTGTATGTATGTATCTGTATGTCAAGGTGTTTGTGTGTATGTATCAAGGTGTGTGTATCTGTGTTTGTATGTGCCAGTGTGTATGAATCTGACACACCTATAAACACACACTGACAGATAGTGGCCCACATATACACACACTGTCACAGATCCACACACCTTGATACACAGTGTGTATCTGTGTGTCAAGGTATGTGGATCTATGTTTCAAAGTGTGTGTATCTGTGTTTGTATGTGCCAGTGTGTGTATCTGTGTGTGTGTGTATATGTATCTGAAACAGATATATATATATACACACACACACACTGGCACATAGTGGCACACAGATACACACTGACCCACAATTTGACACACTCAGATACACACACGCACATACAAACACTGATACACACTGGCACATACACACAGTGACACATACACAACCCTTGACACACAGACACACATACGCTTTTTCAGAAACACATACAAGCACATAAACACTTTCACTGTCAAGAACATATACATTCTCACTGACAAACACTCTCACACACACACACACTGACCAGCACACATTCACTCACTGACCAGCACACAAACACATATAAACTCCCTAACAGACACACATTAAAAAAAATTTTTTTTTTTTTTTTTACATTTTACTCCACCCAGCCCCTGTGTCTGTTAGGAGTGCCTGCATGGAGTCCCATTGGTCCACTGGGGCAGCTGGCATGCAGGCTGCTCAGCTCACTGCGCGCCTCTTAGTGATTTATAGTAAGTGTATTACTCTTCTGTAATAGAACGTATAAGGCCTTCTTCATAGGAAAGCATTGAATTAATTCTTTCCTCTCATGATTTGCAAAGCATGAGGACTTCCAGCATCATGTCATGGTGTTAAACTCCATGCAGAAAGCACCTCGAGTGACATTCTGGTAGACTTGACAGTCTTAACTTTTGCAATGTAAACATTACAGTTTCTCACAAACAGAAATGTTTTACATTACAGTGTTAAGGGGACAGGTATATTGCATCCAGACCACTTCAGTGAGATGAAGTTGTCTGGGTGCGTGTAGTGTGTCCTTCTAACAAAAGTAAACTTACAACAAACTTCTTATTTTTTAAGTTTGATAAGGAGACAGACATTTACACTTTTATTTCGTTGGCAATAAATATATTCGGGAAATTGGTTCTAAAATATAAATTGGTGTTGGGTTTTTTTTAATTTATTTTTTTCCCCATCATTCACACGAAATATATAAATCCTTTTTTTTTTTTTTTTTTTTTTCTCAAAGTAGTGTGTTCCTTTCATCTTGAGATCTCCACCCATTTTAAAAAATGTACATATTTGATATAAAACAAATTTTTATCTGTTTACAGGTACTTCTACTTTCATGGAAGCTCTCACAGCCAACGGTACCAGCAATATACAGACCTCAGTGACCGCAGTAACAGGCAAAAGGAGATTCATTGATGACCGAAGAGATCAACCCTTTGATAAGAGGCTACGCTTCAGTGTGAGACAAACAGAAAGTGCTTATCGGTATAGAGACATTGTTGTCAGGAAACAAGATGGATTCACGCACATTTTACTCTCCACAAAATCATCTGAGAATAATTCCCTGAATCCAGAGGTTAGTTAACTTTTCTTTATTGTTTTTCTGTTTGTTCTTCATATACGTCTAGCATTCCTTGCAGGGGAATAGGACTTTTTTTTAATTTTATTTTTATGAAGGTGAAGTAGTGATGAGAGGGGAAAACTGATATATTGATTAAGCACATAGAAAATGGATGCTGTAATAGGGAGTGTTGAACTTAAAGCTCTTACTAATTGTGGACTTGTAGGAAATCTATAATATGCCTTTTGGGTCCGGAAATATTTGGACACTGACACAAGTTTTGTTATTTTGGCTGTTTACCAAAAATAAATTCAAGTTCCAGTTAAATAATGAATAATGGCTTACAGTGCAGTTTCTCTGCTTTAATTTGAGGGTATTCACATTAACATTGGAGGAAGGATTCAGGAATAGCAGCTCTTTAATATGTAGCCACCTCTTTTTCAAGGAACCAAAAGTAATTGTACAACTGCTGTTTCTTGGACAGGTGTGGGCTATTCCTTTTAACAGGTCTGAAGTAGATTCCAGATGTGGCATTCACATTTGGAAGCTTTTTCTCTGAAACCACAACATGCGATTAAAGGAGGTCTCGATGCAAGTGTAATAGGCTGCAAATAAATCCATCAGAGCGTTAACATGTACATTAGGAGTGGCCATATAAACAATTTGGTACATTCTGGGAAAAAAATGCACTGGTGAGCTCTGCCACAAAAAGGCCTGGACATCCATGAAAAACAGTGGTAGGTGATCGTAGGATCTTCTCCATGGTAAAGAAAAGCCCCTTCACAACCAGCTAAGTGAAGAAAACTCTAAGTCTACAAAAAATACTTCATGAGGGCAAATACAGAGGGTACATCACAAGATGCAAACCATTCATAGTCTCAAGAATAGAAAGGCCAGATTAGACTTTGCCAAAAAAAACAGTCCAGGTCTGGAACAGCATTCCTTGGACAGATTAAACTATAATCCACCTGTACCGAAGTAGCCGGATGAATTCTCAAGAGTATAGGTGATATATTGTCTACTCAGATTCCACCAAAGTCATCTAAGTTGATTGGACCCAAAACATTCTGCAAAAGCAACCCAGTTTTTTTTTATTCTTTATTTTTGCGAGTAGTGGCAAATAATACAACAAATTTTGTGAGTAGCAGGTATATGATTTAGATAGTACAGCTATACATACATCACCTAGCTGAACCTACTGTTTTTATTAGTTGGGTTCTAGTGCGCCCAGGCTCTTCTGTAGATGGACCTAGGGCTTGTGGGATGGGGGATGCTGGTAGCAGGCTTTACGCGCCTTGTGGCTAGTTCGCAGTGCGCCCTGATACATATGCTTTAATAAGGCGCTTATTTTCGGTTTAAGTGGGCCTTTAGCTTCCCAAGGCTAGGTTATGTGTTTTTGTATGTTGGTGCTGGTACAGGTGGCTGGAGCTGTGCGCGGTACATTGAGAGATCGGCTGTGTTGCGCTTTGGTGTCGCTTGTGGAGTCTGTGCTGTTGGGGAGGGGGAACATGGTTACTCTACTTTAGCTATGTACCTAAAGCTTACGGAGCCAACAATGTTACAACAGAGGTGTGGTATATTGTTACTATCAACAGTGAAGAAAGGCAACAATTAACGATTTTTGGTGGTATACAGGTAAGTACAGTCCTAAAGTTCAGGGTGGCGCTTCTGCTGTCGCGGGTGCTCCCCCTCTGGGTACAAATGGGGTAACATCTGCTACATTCCAGGTTGGGTGAATCACTGCCGTTGTCTGTGCCACTGGCAAGCCTAGAGCTTGTAGGAAAGGTGGCGCTTCAGCAGGCGTGCGTCTTCCCCGCTTTTTCGGCAAGCAGTCGGCGGGGGCCCCACTTGTATGCGATGGAGTTTTCTTGGAGAAGCTGGGTGATAGGCTTGAGGGATCTCCGCCAGGAAAAGGTATGTCTGGATAGGTCCCGAAAAAATGCTAGTTGTGCTCCTTCAAAGGACACTGTGGGGGTGCCTCTGACTGCCTCCACTTTAACTCCACGTTGGAGTCCCGCACTAGTTTTAGTAGGACATCCCTGGGAACCTCTTGGGCTGCGTTGGTCACCTTGTTGAGTCTGAAGCAGGAATCCACTACCATTTGTTTGGGCACAAGGAGAGTGGCAAGGAGCCTCCTACAGTAATGAGGGAGTTCTGCTCTTGAGACTGTTTCCGGCACTCCCCTTATCCTCTGTTTGCGTGCCCTGACTTTATCCTCCAGGTTGGCTAGCTGGGCCTGATGGTCAGCACACTTTCTGCAGTGCTCCCATGGCCGTTTCTGTGGCTGACTCTGCCAGTTTGTATCCTGCCATGCCTTCTTCCACTGTGTGCATGTGTATAGTGAGGGTGGACACTGCGTCCCGTATTGGAGCCAGGTCTGCTGTGAACATGGCCCGGATCTCTGTTACTAGGGCTTTAATATCTGCCCTGGTGGCTGGTGCCGAGTCCCCCTGTGCTGTGGTCATTGATGGTCCTGTTCGCCGCCTCGGTTGAGGTCAGAGGTCAGCTGAGCTGCTGTCTTCCTCCGAGGACAGTGGCTTATATGCTGCTGCGGGCGCCATCTTGGCGGGTGCAGGCCGCGTGGCTGTATGCATATAGATGCTGATATCCTGGGAACCCGAGCCCGGGTCCGGTTGCAGTTTTATTTTATTTTTTCCCCATGTCTCTGGGGATCGGGCAGAAGCTTGCATGGGTCTGTTCCGAGGGCCATGTCTGCTTGTATTTCTCCGTTCTCTGGCCCGTTTGCAGAGCAGCTCCGAGACTCGCCTGGCTTTAGGCGCTGGCTCAGCCCCCAACCCAGTTGTTTATGGTAAAGTGGAATATTCTTCAATAGTCAAGTCAGTCACCTGATCTCAACCCTATGGAGCATGTATTTCACTTTCTCAAAACAAAACTTAAGGCAGAAAGACCCATGAGCAAACCACAACTGAGGACAGCTGCAGTAAAGGTCTGGCAAAGTATCACAAAGGAGGGAAACCCAGCGTTTGGTGATGTCCATGTGTCCTAGACTTCAAGCAGTCATTGCCTGCAAAGGATTCGCTGCAAAATATTAAAAATTAACATTTTATTTAGGATTGTGTTAGTTTGTCCAATTAAATTTGAGCTCCTGAAATAAGGGGACTGTGTATGAAATAGGTTGCATTTCATACAATATTTTTGTTCAACCCATTGAATTAAAGCTGAAATTCTTCACTTCAATGGCATCTTGGTTGTTCAATTTCAATCCATTGTGGTGGCGTACAGAGTCACAGTTATGAAAATTGTGTCAGTGTTTAAAAATTTCCAGGCCTAACTTTATATCCTAGTACTACTCGCCACATGTTCTTGGAGTGGGCTGCTTGCCAGCCTCCTACATTCTGACTATGGCCCTGGGATATGTGGCATTTGAACACTATTTGTGCCCTGTGACAAAACTGGAGAATGTGCACAAATATGACTATTGTCCATATTTTTTATGATTCCCTTCGTTTGTTGCACTGTTCCCCATGTGTTTCATCTGTTGGTCCGGCTGGATAGACTACCAGACAAACTGTGGAGTTACTGGGTGGCCACCATTTCATGTATCAGAGTCACATGGTGAGAACAATGGATGGCGGCCATTTTAACTCACAGACACTGTTTGGACTTTTCTACACGGTGCCATCTCGCTGGTATTTGGTGCACAAAGATATCGTGCAGTAGTTTTAAACTATACAACAGGCAACAGGGGACACATTATACAGTAATTATTTTTCATATAGCCTGTATATGTTTTGCGGAATCTGCATTAAACTGTATCTTCCAAACTACTGAACGGATCTGGGTGAATTTTGGATATGTGGTTCACCCAGATTCCCGGTTCCGAGGATATACTTTTTATGGGGTTATTTGGGCTCCCTGTGATATGTTTTATAATACTGTATTTCTCTGCCTGTGATAATTATATTAACCATTGTGTTCAGTAATCACATTACAGACAGAGGGGAGGATTTTGTGTGGGAGTGTCTGTGTATATTGTACGGATTGATTGGTTGTATTTCAAAACCCTGTGGGCAGTACTATGTTTGTGGATTGTGAATTAAAGAGGCTGTATGTGCCAGTACAGTCAGTTCTGCTTGACCTCGAAACGAAGTGTCGTCTCGTTATTGGGGGAATTGGATTGTATCCTGATTGCCAGGAGTGTATGCTGATTGTATGCTTTTCCTGTTCAGCTGCTTACAGCATTCATATGCTTGAGAGCATTCGAATGCTTCTCAGGTTCGGTGGTTGTGGTATCTGCTGCAGTGCTTGGAGTCCTCAGGAAGCGTTAGGAGCATCCTTCAACGGAGGTACCCAGTCGGGGTGCCAGGTGATCCGTTACACTACTAATTTAAAAACAAATTATATTTTTTATTAACAAGTATCACTAATGGTAAATTATTTAACCAACTGGTATTAAATGTTCAAGTACTCTCTAATTTTGTCACACTATTCTGTTTTAGTGGTTCTAACCTTTTTTCAGGATCGTAAATCTTTGTTGATGGTATTAGCTTGGTGACCCATCCTTCGTTTCTATAAGCATCTGATACATTAATCAACCATCATATCCTATATAGCCAAATATATTGTGCATTAGACAATATCCATTATGTTAGCGGTATCCCACTTCATTGGGAAAGCTGCTACAATAAATTTACTGATAAAAAAGCAATGCATTGTGTACAGTTGTATTGGGATCTGATGAATACAATGTCCCCATTCCAGCGATTGAGAAACCAATTTTGGTAATTTTTTTTATTTATTTTTTTATTAAAGGTGTATGAGAAATAAATTACTTCACATGAAATAAATATGGGGTCTTAAAATCCAAATAGGTACATTTTATAGAAACTAGAGCCTAATGTGTCACAAAAACACATCACGTGTATTTTATGGTAACAAAAATAGTCCTCAGCAATCAATTCAGATGGTTTATACAGCTATCAAAGTGAAATGGTAACATTTTGATACTTATGTGTCGTTCTCAAGCAATAAGTGAAATTGTGCAACACCGCAATGTGTATGGATGAATAATCTAAAATATCCAATCACAACATCAAATTTAAAGTGTCCAAATCGGTGTCTTTAAAGGAATTTTCCCCATTTTGAGGTAGGACAGAATATCAGCCCATTTCTTCCTAAAAGTACAGTGCGCCTATTTTTGTTACTGAATATAGTGTCAATATCCATAAAAAAAATTACTATACTGTTGTACAAAAAACATCAATCAGTTCAGTTAAGAAAATGCAACCTGCAACATTTTGAAGATACAGTGTACCATATATTAAAATGTATGTGAATGTTGATAATCTAATGTTTCTGTACATCATGTTAAACTTTTCAAGTCTTCTAAATATCACAATCACAATTATTGCAATATCGTAAATGGTAAAGTACACAATTTGCCTAAGAAAAATTAAACCGCATTTGTGATTGTCTGGATAAAGACTGTCAAATCTCTAATGAACTATTTTAAAAATGCAAATAATACAGGGGTCCTATTGAAATTTATTTATGGTGCATCATCCGTTGTATTTTACTTTGTTAATGTCCTATATAACTCCATTGATTGTTCGTTAAAAATATGATGGGTTAATCGCTAAATGTATTGCTCTTTCAAATTTCTTATTGATACATTTTGTGTTTTTTGTATCCCCTAAATGTTCTTGGGAAAGCAATGTTTTCAAAGGTCTGGATCCCATCAGTAAATTAAACTATCACACTACCTACCCACTTTAAAACTGAATTACTTTTTCTTGTGCAATTCTTTTTTTTTTTTTTTTTGTTCTGCTCGGAAAGGCAGGTAAATATATCTAGAGGTTAATTCCTGACAGCACAATACATTGTTACTCCTTCTCTCTGGTCTACATGCTTTGCAATGGGTAAATTATATAAAGGTGTCCTCGTATGATTTTAACTGCCTAATTTAGTATATTCTGGGCCTTGATTCTGTGGCTACAGAGAGGTTCATCTCTGGCAGTTACATAAACAATAAACAGTTGGTGAGAGCACACTAAACAAAGTTAACACTTTACCCTTAGCATTCAGAAAGTCTGTAATTTTTTTTTTTATTATTATTTATTTTTGATTCGACACATAGTACGGCATGGCAGTATTCAGTGGCTCACGCATGGGCCAATAGTGATTGAGACATACAATGCATTATACAGAAGAGAAGCGGTTTAATAAGGTTATGCCAGGTTCTTTTATGCTGTGCAGTGTCGCCGTTTCTGTTGTGATGGGCTTTTCATGCCCATAGATAAAAATAAAATAAAGTAACAAAACTAAACCATCTTAGAAATATAGTAACTAACTAAATATAGCTATAGCTACCGAAGGTAAGAACCTCCGATATATTTCCCTACTATGAACTTCCATCCCACTGGCCAGCCCTAGATGTCTGTTAGTGCGTTTGATTGAGGGTTCTGCATTCCGCGTTCCAGGGCAGAAAGTCTGTAATTTTATCAATACTTGATTTACTCCTGTATATAAAATATAAGAACAGGAAAAAAAACGCACATAGAGTAGTAATGTTTTAGTCTAATTTGTAACTCAGACTTAAAAAGGTTTCACTCACATGGTTTTGAGTCACTTAACATAAGCTGGCTCAAACTACAGGCATGAATAAAATCAACACGTGGCCTCCGCACACCAGGCTGCTCCCCCTCCGTGGTTCTTCCGTTATATTCAAGTATTCCATGATGCAAGGAATTGAAATAACAATTTTATTGGACACACAAAAAAAATTGGGGTAAAAACAAACACTATGTATAAATTAATAAGAAGTCCACTGTGCAAATTGACTTGACGCGTTTCGGCCTGGTCCTTTATCAAAAGTCCAATCATCTTCCTCATTCCTAAGCATTTAAATATGTCCGGTTTTGGCTCCCTTTTTGGCTTTTGCATCAATTTTCTTTCTACTTCCAGTATCAGGGCTGCATCCTATGCCCTGGCCTCCTTCCAATGTCACTTCCGGTTCGCACTGTGTAGCGTCTGACACAACTTCCGGTCCCTGCATCATGATGTACTTCCGGTTCGGACTGAAAGCTCTGCAAATTTGCCAGTATTAAAAATGCTCATATTTAAATGATTAGGAATGAGGAAGATTATTAGACTTTTGATAAAGGCCCAGGCCTAAACGCGTCAAGTCTTTACTATTTGCACAGTAGACTTCTTATTTATTTATACCCAGTGTTAGTTTTTACCCCAGTTTTTTAGTTTGTCCAATAAAATTATTTCAATTCCTTTCATCCTGGAATACTTGAATATAACGGAGGGGGAGCAGCCTGGTGTGTGGAGGCCACGTGCTGATATTATCCATGCCTGTAGTTTGAGCCAGCTTATGTTAAGTGGCTCAAAACCATGTGAGTGAAACCTTTTTAAGTCTGAGTTACAAATTAGACTTAAACGTTACTACTCTGTGCATTTTTTTTTCCTGTTCTTATATTTTATATACATGAGTAAATCAAGTATTGATAGAATTACAGACTTTCTGAATGCTAAGTGTAAAGTGTTACTTTGTGTAGTGTGCTCTCACCAACTGTTTATTGTTTATTATTCATTTGTATGTGTCTGAGTGACTCACGTAGGTGATTGAAGCACTCTTGTTTTTAATCTGGTCTATTTTTAACCGTATATCTTATTTATTTATTCTAGCAGTTATAACCATGGGGAAATTAAATTTATCATTTTTAGAATCTAGCTTCTGTTAAGCTTGCTTAATTTGCACCAGTTTTCTTATTTACTCAATTACACCTGCTTTTATATTTCTTTAGATCGCTTATTAGACACTAGTTTTTATTATTTTATTATTTATATAGCGCCAGCAAATTCCGTAGCGCTGTACAATGGGTGGGCTAACAGACACATAATTGTAACCAGACAAATGGACTCACAGGAACAGAGGGGCTGAGGGCCCTGCTCAATGAAATTACATGCTAGAGCAGTGATGGCGAACCTTTTTAAAGCCCGAGTGCCCAAACCGCAATACATGCCAACTTTTTTCCCCTCAAAGTGCCAACATGGCAATTAAACCTGAATACGTGTGTGGGGGAGGAGGGTAGAAGTGCTGTATGTGTGGGAGGGAGGGGTGCTGTGTGTGTGTGTGTGGGGGGGGAGGGGTGCTGTGTGTGGGGGGGAGGGCAGGAGGGGGAGTGCCATAGGTTCGCCATCACTGTGCTAGAGGATGTAACGTTTATTTAGAAATATAACCTGTATAATATTCACATACGATGAGAACAATTTATATAATAGAACAACATAAGTCAAATTGTCACTATTCAGCAATTACATAAAAATGTTATAAGTTAACAAAATAGAAGGCTAACAGAGTATAGAAAATGGAAGATCGGCTCCCAGGAAGAGAACCTGCAACCTCCCTATGCAAGATCCTTGCGTTTCACAGAGGGTCATGCATCCAACAAGGACTAGACAAAAGTAGAATAACTAAATTTGTGTATTTGCAGAAGTAAAAGCATTCTCAGCTAAACATATCACATTGAACATCCATTCAATCCAAGTTTCTATATGAGAGATCAAAGTCCACTTGATCAACCATGTATCCTTGACTAACTCCTGCTAGTGTTCATAGGAAAAAATGGAGTCATGTGCAACTGGTATCAATGTGCACACCCTGGTGCTACCATATTTTTTTGGAAGCATTGATAAAGCACTGAATCATTCTTATTTACCATACAGGACTTTTTTTATAATTACGTAAAGTCCAATAGTAATGTTGTAGTAGAAGCAATCCTGGAGAGAAAGCTAATTCAGATTTAGATTAGCACACATTTGCATGAATATTTCCAAAAAGGCTTTATATGAGTACAAAACAACCTATTACAGATGAGTGATTTTCCGCAAACTGCTATTTTGGAAGTTGTGTTTTTTCAATGTGTCTTTTTTACCTTTTGGAAATGGGTGATTATGGAGAACTTGTACATGCAGTAGGAATCCTTAGCCACTACTCTGTCTATGAAGATACCCAGGTTTTTCTCCCAGCAGATAGGGAATTAGGATCATCAGACCTTGGGTTACTAGTAGTTTATGAAGAGTGGTAAACTGTGTGGTGGATCCTTTCTTATGGCTTAAATAAAAAAATAATAGTATAATTCCTGCCTACTGATATGTGAATTGTTAGTATTCTCAATGTATCCAGATAAACATATGGAATGAAAAAGGACGACATAAGGCCTCCAATATTGTAGTAGTAATCAATCAAAATGGTAAATGTGCAAAAAGGAAAAAATCCATGTAAGGATCTTTCAACAAGCTCAAGAGTAAACCACAAATAGTGGTACAATCCACCTTAAAGACATAGTGATTGAATCTTTCCCAGAACATCAGTAACATATGGAATACTTATAAATTATATATATTCTTTGTATCCGTGCCAAATAGAAATTTAATCTTTATTACAATTATAGGAGCAATGTACTTGCTCTATGAAGACAGCAATATTTATTTCACACCCAGTATAGATGTGATGATGTATTAATTCAATGTTGGAACCAGGAAAAATATAGTTAAATAAAAGGGTAAATCTTACTGAAATGTATCAACAAAAAATAAATCCCTAAAAAGTGGTAAAATGTCGCCACGTAATAAAGTCCACCTCAAGTTTTTAAAGGGACACTGTAGGCACCCAGACCACTTCAGCTAATTTTTTGCACTTAGTGCTGCAATGTTTTCTTCCTAGGATCGATTCAGTGCTTTCCTATGGGAAGGTCTAATGCAGGTGCGGCATTTGCTGCGCATGCGCTTTAGACCCCGCTCGTCGCAGGACAAAGGAACGGGAAATGCGTGAAAAAACAATATTAGGCCGATCAAGAAAATCTTGTGATAAATAAATGAGCTGAAAATGCCCTCTGCTGATGACTAATGAACAAGACACTACTAGGACAATAAAGGGAAGTATAAAGAATAGCTAAGCGTCCTCTGGTGAAGAGCCAGTAAAGTAGCAAATGATAAAAGAAGAGAAGATAGGGGGGAAAAAAAATAACATTTTAAAAGAAATAACAAAAACAGAAATTTAAATCAAACATTGCATTGAGTCCTACTGGTTTTAAGGTTTTGAGGTTAAATATCTAGTTCATTTCCATTTTTCTTAAAATCTTCCTTATGTCACCAGCTCTCCATGGTCTATTGTATTTCTAGATACATATAATCTTTAAAGGATTTGGGTTGCTATTATGCATTAGAATATGTTTGGACAGTGAGTAGCAGTTTGTTATAGTTTTACAGTGTTCAGCAATTGTTTTTTAGGCATCTAGATTGTTCCCACATGTTAAAGCGGCACTGTCACGCTGAACTTACCTTTTCCAAATCTTCCTCTTTCAGAATCTGTTTTCTGATCTAGTTTTCTTTAAACATAAGACAAAGTAGTAAATGCTTTGTTTCATGTATTTTTCCTGGGCCTGACTTTCTCTGACTCTTGGAGGAGCTTAAGTTGGCTCCATTTACGTTGTCAAAGACTGTTTTTCCACAATATTCACACTCCTCCGTATTCTCACAGTGCTTAATTTGTCATTCTTGAATGTCCTTCAGGTAGACTTGGCGAATTGACCATGTTTCATCCCAACAGAATTTAGAAAGTTTGTTCATTTTAGGACGAAATGCGGGCATTAATTTTGGTTTGGAATTTCATTCAGAGATGCCCGCGGTGGCATCTTGCACCTGATTAGTAGATTGTAGCCTGGTAGGAAAACATTGTTTGGATGTGTTTTTTTTTTTGGTTTGGGGGGGTGGGGCGGTTGTTAAAGGGGGTGGAGGAGATAGCATAGCTAAGCTCTGCATTATTTGTACTTGTTGCATAAGTGAGTCTTTGAAAGAAAAAAATTTCAGTGCCGTCAGCGGCTGAGCGATGTACCTACACTGATAATGAACTCTTTTTCTTGATTAGAAAGAAATAAGGTGTGGCTAAGGAGGAAGCTTTATGAAGCGTCTTTCTGCCAAATATTTGTTTTAAATTACAACTATTTTCCATGCAAACGTACAGTCCATTGATGAGATCAAAACTTATCAAATGTATTCAAGTCGTGTGGGTGCCCAGATTATCCCATTAATGTAAAACGTAATTGTTTTTGATCCTTTGTGATACTTTTATACCGATCTATTACATTTATGGTGGTAATGAAATCCTACTGATCTTGCTTTAATGGGTTGTTACATTGATTATATGTACAGAGTCAGATTTTATATATTATGTCTGATATAAAATTAACACCACATTAGATTTAGTTTTTAAATTGATTATTCCAGGGTCATCAAATCTATGGTGCCAGGTTGCCATAGAGACACAGAAATGGCACCTGGCAATGAGAATCTCCCTGCCAATGGAGAACAAAAAACTTCCCCTGGCACGTATGATCAAGAACGGAATGAACTGTCTCTGCATGCTCTGACAGTAGAGACCACATCGGGGCTTCTTCACATTTTTACTTTAAAAACACTGTCACTGTAACCACTGCCATATGCCCCAATTTCCCTTTTATTTTTTTACAGAAACATTTCGAAATTGAAGCTCTGAATTATTTTTAGCAAAACTCAATCAAGCAGTTATAACTTCTAATCATTCTCTATGTAAAATAAGACATTTTCTAGAACCTTTATATCCTTTTTAAAAGCAGTAAATGTTACATTGTAAGAAATTAGTTGTCTTCTCTCTCTATTTTTCTTTAGTTTTTTTTTCTCCTCCGTTGGCTGCTTTACTACATATGTATCCATTCTTACCTTAGGATAAACTTTTTATTTTTGTTTTTTTGTTTTTTGGGATTTTAGGTCATGAAGGAAGTACAAGGGGCACTAAACACCGCAGCTGCAGATGACAGCAAACTTGTACTTTTCAGCGCAGTTGGTAGTGTGTTCTGCTGCGGTCTTGATTTTATATATTTTATACGGCGTTTGACAGATGATAGAAAAAGGGAAAGCACTAAAATGGCAGAAGCCATTAGGTATGTATGCTTTAGTTTTGTGTGTTTTCCCTCTTGTCATATTGATAAGTGATTTATTTTAAAGTATAATCTTCCCAAAACTATAGTTAATATTGGAGATATATGTAAAATGTAAAAACTTTCTATTTATTTATGTGATTGAGGACTGAGGATAAAATTGTTGTGACTAATTTTCTCCCCTTTTTAATACCTCATTTACTGTTATACAATATTGCTAATTATAGTCTAGTTTGCACATTGAGTATCTGATTCACAGGTAGTGATTGCTTTGGTTTATTTACTAAAATCCTAAATTAGAATCCGTTTACAGCTGTCTGTGCAAAAATGTATTCACATTGGTTTTAGGTATTCGGTCCTTTTCCAAGTCTGGTAGCTTCCTTAGCTAGCTCAAGTCAACTTCAATGCATGCATTGGGAGTGGCTATACTGTCAGTTACTTGAACCTCCCAAAAATGTAATTCGAAAAAGAAAAAAATCAAACCTGAATAATAATTATTCTTTTACTTTCCATTTCAATTTATCTACCTATTTTTTTTTTTATTCTTTATTTTAGTTGTGCATAGATAATACAAACAGGCTTGTAATGGCACAACAGCTAGAGCAAGCATTTTAATAGACATAGATTGACAACTATATGGAATTTGATAACACTGCACATTTTTATTAAATATTGAATACGAGAAAGCTAGCCTACATGGGCTGTAAGTGATGCATTTGCAGATTACTCAGATGTGTCCTAACATTAAATTTAAGAAATATATAACTAAGAAACGTAGCTTGAGTTTGGACACGGCTGTAATAAACAAGAGTATGTGTGCTTAAGGTGTTAAGCACGTCTAAAGCATAAGCAGGAGTATTTAAAAGCCACTGGAGCCTCACTATTGGTTTTGTTAAAAACCACTAAAAGGTAAAAGAGTCAAGACTTTATCAAGCATACTGGCCCCATGAAATTGTCCCCCAGCCACCAGGTCACCGAAATCCAGCCAGTACCACGCCCTCGGACCCAGGACGCCACACAAGCCGCATCCTGCTCTTAGATTCAGTCTGTCCAGCAGCTGTAATCTGTGTCTCCGGAGAGTTACTAATGATGTTCCTGTCACTTGCAGACTTCCCTCCAGGGTATAGGGCCATTGTGGGGAGTTTCCCACCATTAGGCTCGTGGCCAGGGTAAGTAGCTGCAGCTATCAAATTCAAGTGCTGGGCACATGGTTGCACGAGAATTGAGGCCTCTCTTGTCCAGTGCGACTTTCCGCAGGCTTATCGTTGTCAAATTTCATTAGGGTTCCAAGCTGCAGCCATCTTAGAAGCAGTTGATGCAGGCCCTTATGCTGTTGTCTGCCAATGAATAGCCTCTAAGTCACTTCCGAGCCCTCCAGCAGGAACTGGGATAACCCCCACAAGTCCAAAAGAGGGCAAACAAGACCAGTCAGACGATGGAGCGACGTGTTGATGCACAGCCTTCGAGTTGCAGAGCAAAGCAGCGGCCGTACGCCTCACTCCCTACCTCAGGGATTACACACTCTGGGGCTCCAGTTACAGGTCAGATCCACAGTACTGGTAGTCACAATAATATGCTGCAGTTTTCCAGTTCAAGGTAGCCAGGTAGGTATGTTTTTTTATTGATTTTATTATACTGAAAGGAGGAGCACAACCAGCTAAAATACAAAGCACTTTATTGTACAGGAACACACATAACCGGTATCAGCACTATCAAATTAAAGTATCTATATAGTCAAACCTATACAATGAATATGCAAGCACTGACTAAGACAAAAGAAAAAGATCAGGAAAAATCAATAATACTTATTTTGATACTTGTATAGGGGGGCTATTTTTTTTTTGACGTCTTCACCCTCTTCTCATGTGCTTTGGCAGGTTCTATTGGTTTCGGTATGTACTTTTTGGTTAATACTCCTATACAGGTATCAAAATAATTGTTTTTCTGCATCTGTGGTAACACCACTCAGTCTGCATTTTCTAGATTGATTTTTCCTGATCTTTTTCTTTTGTCTTAGTCAGTGCTTGCATATTCATTGTATATGTTTGACTATAAAGATACTTTAATTTGATAGTGCTGATACCGGTTATGTGTGTTCCTGTACAATAGAGTGCTTTGTATTTTAGCTGGTTGTGCTCCTCCTTTCAGTATAATATTATTGTATCAGTAGCCTTTTGGAAATAGGGCTTTGTGAGTGAGCACCCTAATCTGTATTAATTGCCTTAATCTATTGCATATGGCTGACAACCGGGTGTGCCCACCATTCTTTTGTTAATACACATTTAATTGATTTTATGCCAGAAACCTTGGGAGCTGTTCTGACATGCGGGCAGCCACACGGCCACGGCCACACTCCCCTACTTAATTTACTTTTTATGTTTGTTTTAGTTTACTTTTCTTGTTTTATACACAAGTCTGCTTCTATGAATAAATCCTCCCAATTGATTTTGAAGTGACTTATAGGTAAGGGAAGGGTACTTACTCTTTGTCTAGTGATATAATGAAATGGTATATTTAGAGATTAATTTCAGTTTTTGTTATTTCTTCTTTTATGGAAAGTATACAGTAGCTCTTTACTATTTTATTTTTGTTATATTTATTATTATTTTTATTTTTTTAACTATTCAGTTTTAAAAAGTATATAAGGGTTGCCTGTGGGTGGATATACTCTTCAGGAAGAGTTTTTTATGAAGTGGATTCCATTATCAAGCATCACGAGACAAGTTGAGAGCTTCCAGTTACTCAGCCGTGCTTAATGCTGACACCTGAGCCAACTAAAGGAAGCTACCAAATGCAAACAAGGATCAAATATAGAAAAAGAAAGTCTGGAAAGGGTAAGCTAAACAAGCAAACCCAATAGCAGACTTGGTATCCTCAGAAAAGCTGCTCTATCAGTAGTTTATCTTCTCATTAGGGATTTAATAAAATTATAGTTGCTTTTTTTTTTTTTGCTCTGAAAAATAGGCATTACTAGCCGATCACTGATAGAGCAGCTTTTCTGAGGATACTAAGTCTGCTATTGGGTTCGCTTGTTTAGCTTACTCTTTCCAGACTTTCCTTTTCTAGTCAATTTTGGGTCATGCCCTCAGTATCCCACAACCACTCCAACTCTGTTGAAAGGTTTTCCCTCTCAGCATTATTGGACGTTTCTCAAGGATCAAACATAAACTATCAGAACAAGATTGATACCATGTTAAACGAGCTCCTTTTTCTTTTTATTATATTAAAATTTAAGTTATACTTCATTATTCATATTATTATTTTTTTTATCACTTTATGAAGAATTATATAAAATTATATATTAAATACACTGAATATCACACACGTTTGCAAGTGATCAATTGCCAATATATACATATTGAGAATTTGAATTAAAACCACACACTATTAAATGCCTTTTTATTTATTTTTTACTTGTTTTTACAAAACAAAAGAGAAAATACAAGTCATTTATTTGTATTTGTTACATATGTTCCATTTTGGGTTAAACATGTCTTTATTGTATTTTGATTATCTTGTGTGTGTGTGTGTGTGTGTGTGTGTGTTTGCACATGCATTAGACATTCACACTTTCTTTTGGTAAGTCTTGGGTGAAGTTTCTCATGGGTCTAGTGTTTTGGCTCTACTTTTTTTTTTGGAGGGTTGCATACCATCTGGAGGTCAATGCTATACCTGTATGAAGTAGTTTAAATGAGCATGGATATACTTTCACTTTCTTTCAGTTTTGAGCTCATTCCTGGTCCTGGCAAATGTTCTTAAATTTCAGTGTGCATTAGTGGAAGTATTTTGGCCTCAATCTAGACCACCATGAACTGGTGTGCCAATGAGCTTGTTATTTCATTGTGGTAAAACAGAATTTAAAAAGTACAAACAGATATTGAACAAAATTGGTTTGCTGAATGTAACTGAATGATGGAATGATATTTTAAATCTATATCTAACTAAAACTCCATTCCCTACAAAGCAACAGTTTTGGCACACTTCATTTAAAATCGTTTAAAAATGAACGTTAAAAAGTTGTAAGTTGTGATACTAAATACATAGGCAATTTTGATCTGTTGCATTTAATACATTCTATCCGATATATCTATCTAATCAATCTATCTTCTCTCCATAATTAAAAAATATATAATTGTTGTTTAATTTTTTTCCAGGACATTTGTGAATACCTTTATTCAGTTTAAGAAGCCAATTATTGTAGCTGTGAATGGACCTGCTATTGGACTTGGAGCATCGATACTGCCTTTATGTGATGTAATTTGGGCTAATGAAAAAGCCTGGTTTCAAACACCCTACACAACATTTGGCCAAAGCCCTGATGGATGTTCAACTGTTATGTTTCCTAAAATAATGGGCCTTGCATCTGTAAGTAATTTATTTTGGTTTTTAAATATTTAAGTGTATAATTAGGAGTGTTCACTGTGTAATATTGAAGGGAAAAAAGGGTAGCGATGGGTCAGCGCGCAAGGTGTTGGTACAGATAAAACAATGGATAATTGGGCAGCACACCAGGGTAGTAAGGCTCCCTCAGAAGGCCTTACAGGTAGACAAAGCAATAGGGTAGAGAGTAGAAGATAGGTGGCGCCAGTAATAAAGAGCAAAGTAGATAAAAATAATAATATAGTCTAAGTGATTAAAAGTCCAGTAGTAGAGTTCAAGAATGTCTTTTGGGGGACTGTATGTAGAAGCCAACGAAAATGTAGAATATGGGATAACCGCTCCATAAGCCGAAGATGTTCTTACACTCCGTATGTGTAAAGAAGAGACAACTAATGGTGCAGTATATTCAACAATCATGTGTTATTCTTGTAAAAGTCTTATATGATCCTACTCAAATTTGTAGAGCTAATGGACTAGCTCTAGTATGAAGTGCGTTCAGTGGTATAATATGGAGCACAGAATACGAGAAAGTGGCAGGGATCTCAACCCGCCACACCTCATACCTGACAAATCACTCCTAAAGCGGCTCCTACATCGGTGAAGCCGAAGAGGCAGCAGTCTCGCCTGAAGGTTGCCATCCACCATGAGTTGTCCAACACCCGCTATTGCTTTCCTAGGCTGAAGATGCAACCCGGGTACATAACCCACTAACTTGGAAGGAGACAGCCAGAGGTCAAGCGGTGACAACTCCTCCCCGAGATGTTGCTTGCAGTGTCGAGAGAGACGGGAGCAGTGGGACCACCACATGGGCTCTTATGGTAGCCTGGGGCCGGCGGAGTGGCCTGCATTGGACTGCCAGGACGCTATCTTTACACATGGCTCTCATGGCCAGCGTGGGTATCGGGTGAAGTACAGCAACAGGGGGAGGGGGAGACAAATGTGGAGCCAACAATGAATAAGCTATATATGTCACTTTGACTAGCATGCTCCTTCAAACACTCCACCTTGGTTCCCCACAATCGTAGCATTTTACTTCTATCCGATATGAAGTAGATGCCTGACTTCTGTTTAATTTTAGCCTATCATGTTCCTACCTCGCACACAGCCATACTGACAACTAGCATTATGTCAGCCTAGACAGTCTGAACCACTAACACACAAGTAGGCTACATGGCTGACAAGCTTACCATCCTATACTTAATCGACAATGTTTGAACGTAACTAGAACATGTTATTTCACCTACCCTTATATTACCTCAAAATGTCAGTATGTTTATTCTGAAAATAACTTGTCTGCCTTATTTCATAACTGACATGTTGGTTTCTCTTGATAATTCTCCACTATAACATAAAATGTGCAAAGTTTTGATATGCCATACAACTGTCTGTAAATGTTGAAAGTTACGCTGGCAATAGCTGTTGTGGCATTGCTTGCCTCTTAGTATTTTTCATGCATGACAAAATAAAGAATTTAAATAAAAATAAATAATAAAAAAAATTAAGTAAATACCCCCTCTCCCCCAGGACCTCGGACGTACCTAGTAGGTTCGAGGTAATCCTAAATTACTTACCTAATCGCCGCCGTTCCCCTGCCGGCGATCGGTCTTCTTCTCCACTAGGGGGTCTGTCTGATAGCTCAGACAGTCTTCCCTCTGCAAAATAAGACCCCAAGGGCCATGTGATCGCTCTGAAAGAGCGGTCACATGGCCGCAATAGACGTCCACAGTGTTGCCTGCAGGGAGACTGCCTGAACTGACTAAAAGAATAGTAATAAAAATTGTGTGTGTATATATGTATGTGTGTGTTTTTATATATATATATGTATATGTGTGTGTATATGTACATAACGTCATACTAAGTGTATTATATATATATATACACACACACACACATATTAATATAAAAATACACTGTAAAAATAATTTCAAAATTATATATGTAATTTTATTCTAACTGTATTTTGATATTAATATAAAATTGTTATATCAAATACACTTAGAATGAAATTATATGTATAAATAAATAAAAATAATATGAAATATACATATGTTTTACACAATTACATAAATTCATAAATATACACGTAGACTTCAAATATATAAATATGTATGTATATATTTCAATTCTACGTGCATATTTATGTAATATTTTTACATAATTAAGTAACTTTATTAATTACAATTTGGGTAACCTGGCTGATAACCCAGGCCAAAAGTCCAGAGAATTTATTTGCTAGCAGTATTTTCAACTCTGTAACTTTCCATGACACCCTAAAACCTGTACATTGGGGGGTACTGTTTTACTCGGTAGACTTCGCTGAACAAAAATATTAGTGTTTCAAAACCATAAAACATATCACAGCAATGATTATGTCAGTGAAAGTGACAGGTCTTTTTTTTTTTATTTATTTTGCCTTTTCCACACACAAACAACACTTTCATTGATGATATAATTGTTGTGATACATTTTACTGTGTTGAAACACTAGTATTTGTGTTCAGGGAAGTCTCCAGAGTATAACAGTACACCCCATGTACAGGTTTTATAGTGTTTTTTGAAAGTTACAGGGTCAAACAGAAGGCTTGATTTTCCATTTTACACAGTGAAATTTGCTAGATTGGTTATGTTGCCTTGGAGAGCGTATGGTAGCCCAGGAATGAGAATTACACCCATGGTGGCATACAATTTGCAAAAAAAGAAAACCCAAGGCAATTGCAAATGGGGTATGTTCAGTCTTTTTTAGTTGCCACTTAGTCACAAACACTGGCCAAAGTTAGCGTTCATAATAGTTTTTTGCATTTTTCACACACCAACAAATATAAATGCTAACTTTGGCCAGTGTTTGTGACCAAGTGGCTACTAAAATAGACTGGACATGTCCCATATTGAATACCCTAGGTTGTCTACTTTAAAGAAAAAATATGTACATGTGAGGAGTGATTCAGAGGTTTATGACAGATAACAGTGTTACAATGTCACTATTGATAAATTTTAAAAATATATATTTTGAAACATCAATGTCCTACTTGTACTTGTAGCCCTATAACTTGCAAAAAAAAAGAAAGCTCAGAACATGTTAACATTGGGCATTTCTAAACTCAGGACAAAATTTAGAAACTATTTAGCATGGTTTGTTTTTTGGGGGGGTCAAAGTTAGTAAAAGTGTGTTTTCGTTTGTTTTTTTTCATCATATTTTATAAAAAAAAATTATAGTAAATTATATATGATATGATGAAAATAAGGGTACATTTAGAATGACCATTTAATTTAAAAACGGTGTATAATATGTGTGGGTACAGTAAATGAGTAAGATGAAAATGACAGCTAAACACAAACACTGCTGAAATGTAAAAACAGTCCTGGTCCTTTACGGTAAGAAAATTGGAAAAACGGTCTGGTCACTGAGGGGTTAAAGCCTATGTTATAGAATGATGTTATAGAATGATTAATTCCCATTTACTTTGTAGAGTTCATATCATATTCTCTCCATAATTCATAAAACATTTTTGAACATTTCAACAATTGTGGTAACATCCATTTATATAGGCCAGACATTATGTTTGTGTTATGAGCATCCAGATGTTCATAGGTTAGTATTGCACGAGTATGTAAAAAAAAAAAGAGAATACTGCTGCTGCCATTTAATGGTATGTTAAGTGCAAGGAATTTAAAGACAAGCTCTTGAAACTGCAGTTGGCACAGAGGAACTCTTTTCATGTACCATATTGTTGTAGGACATCAGTGGTTGAATGATAGCTGTCTTTTTTTTTTTTTTCTTACTCATGTCAATACCACCACATAAAAATCTGGTTGTTTGTGCATGTATTATAAATTAAAATGGTTGCATGTTTGTACAAAATCAGGAGCAAGGCTTGTGTTTCTAGTACCTTGGAAAATGTACCTACATAGATAATTAAAATAACACAATGAAGTTGATTTTAGGCCTACACATAGCTTTTTGGATTTTATCAAAGTTTAAATTCATTCATTGTGCACATATTTACCAAAATGTCTAAGATTTGAAGATATCTGTGATTCATTATTTGTACAAATGTTTTGACTCCACAATGTAAGCATGAATGTTTTGTTATCGAAACATTCTCTTTTAATTTAAGTGAAATGTGAATAGGATGGAAGTAAAAATAAATAAATCTTCCACATTTTCTTTTCTTCTTTTTGTGTTCTAGGCAAATGAAATGTTGTTCAGCGGGCGAAAGTTGACTGCACAAGAAGCATGTGCAAAAGGACTTGTTTCCCAAGTGTTCTGGCCTGGAACTTTCACACAAGAAGTGATGGTTCGCATAAAAGAACTTGTAACCTGCAATCCAGTAGTATGTTACTTTGTGTGTCTATTTTAAAAATGGTTATTTAGTTCTCATACTTTCTAATTAAATAAGTATAGTCTAACGCAATCTACTGAAACAGTTTTAAAGCATATAAGAAAATCTAATCCAATAGTGCCCCAACAAAACGGATTCCAACCAAGCGTCTCTAGAAATATATTTTGGTTGATCCAGAAGAAAAACACTCTTTCTGGTTTTGTAAGCCACAATTATTTTATATACGTTACACTTTTTGTTTTCTAAAAATACATTTTACCCTTAATTTTTATACAGTTTTTGCCTCATGTTTAAAATCTGTACAAAACATGTACTTCCTTATTACACATACCTGTGCTTGGATATACTTGCTTATGACACATTTATTAAACAGCATTTTCTCATTACAAATTTTTAAAGGGGCAGTCTATGCATCATCATAACTATAGTTCAGTGTAGAGGTAATGGTGCAGAGGGTTTGTGGGTACCATCTCATATTTTTGGGTGTTAGTTTACACATTAATTAGAATAAAAATTAGATCTATAAATTAATTTAGTGTGATAATCCCACCTTGCTAAAGTAGATCAGTTATTGTATTCCCTAATTTAATATAAAATACACTATATGGACAAAAGTAGTGAGCCACACCTCTTAATTGTTGAATTCAATCATACCCATTGGCACAGGTGTATAAAATCAAGCACTTAGCCATGCAGTCTGCTTTTAAAAACATTTGTGGGGGGAAAATGGGATGTCCTAAAAGCACAGTGAATTCAAGTGTGGTACTGTGATAGGATGCCACCTTATATAAGTCTGTGAAATCTCATCCCTGCTAGATATTACACGGTCAACTGTAAGTAGTACTATTGGAAAGTGGAAGTACTACAGTAGAAACTTGGTCACGAAGTGGAAAACCATGTAAAGTCATAAAGCTGGGTCAAAGAGTGAAGTGGCCATGGCACATAAAAAATGCCAACGCTCTGCTGATTCCATAGCTGAAGAGTTACAAATGTCCACTGGAATTCATCTCAGCACAAAAACTGTGTGGTGGGAGCTTCATGGAATGGTTTCCAGGGCAGAGCAGCTGCATGCAAGCCTCACATCACTAAGTACAATGCCAAGCATCAGATCGAGTGGTGTAAAGCACGCTGCCATTGGACTCTGGAGTAGTGGAAACGTGTTCTGTGGAGTGACAAATCACGCTTCTCTGTTTGGCAGTCTAATGGGCGAATGCCAGGAGAACTTTACCTGCCTGACTGCATTGTGCCAACTGTAAAGTTTGGTGTAGGAGGGTTAATGCTATGAAGCTGTTTTTCAGGGGTTGGGCTGTGCTCCTTCCGTTAAGTGATGGGAAGACATTTTGAACAATGCTGTGCTCCAACTTTGTGTTTGGGGTAGGCCCTTTTCTATTGCAGCATGACTGTGCACAAAGCAAGTTCCATAAAGACAAAGTTGGATGAGCTTGGTGTGGAGTGGAAGAAAGTTACTTACCTGCACAGAGCTTTGACATCAACCCAATTGAACACCTGTGGAATGAACTGGAACGGAGATTGCGAGCCAGGCATTCTTGTCAATCATCAGTGCCTGACCTCTCAAATGCTCTACTGGATGAATGTGCAAAGATTGACCGAATAGCGGAAACTGTTATAGCTGCAAAGGGAGGACCAACTACATATTGTTTAGAATTCAATGTCATAAAAGTTCCCGTTGATGTCATGCTTTTGTCCATATAGTGCATATTTACATTTTGACATTATAGACTATATTAAGCTTAATTTTTTTTTAATTCATTTTAGGTACTTGAAGAATCCAAAGGTTTAGTTCGTAACATCATGAGGGAAGAACTGGAGCAAACTAATGAAAGGGAATGTGAAGTACTCAAGAAAATCTGGGGATCTGCTCAAGGGATGGACTCCATGTTAAAATACTTACAAAGGAAAATTGATGAATTCTAAATATTACCCTGTGGATTTTCTCATAGACTAGCACTGAAAATCTTTTTTTTGGACACTTTTTACATGTGACCTGTAGCTGAAAATATGATTTGTCATGTTTTTGAACAAATATCTACAACCTTGCCATGACTACAAAGCATATAAAGACATGGAGTGTCATAGCAATCCAGGACTTGAAAATTTCGGCATGTACTGTAATGAAAGAAAACGGCAATGAAGAACATTGTGTGTTCCAGGGAAGCCTGGGATATGTGTTTTTTTTGTTTTTCTTTGTTTTTGTTAATTTTTTTTTGTTGTATTGTTTATAAAATATTTAAAATAAGAAGAGAAAAAAAAAACGGGTATCAGCCAGCCCTACATTTATTGCCCAACCAGTTTAGTTTGAGGCAATGCTTTATTTCAGAAAGGTTAAAATACCTCAAACATATTAACTTTTTTAAATAAAAGAATAAAACTAAATTCAAACATAACTCTTAGTAATACATTTTAATAATCCAAACAAATATGTATACATGTGCTCAGGACATGTGATGTAAAGAAAGTTAAGTGAAGAAATTGCTTCACGTTCTGTTCGAAATGTGTAGTTTGTACATTGTTCACATGAAGAAACCACTGTCGGAGAGGGCCTTGTCTTTTTTGTGTTTATATATATTTTTTGTGATGCAGTATTAGTAAGTCACTGATCATCCTTTTATAGGTGAGGTTCCTTCATCCTACCAAGGAAATTTGATTTTTAATATCTAATTTAGTTCGTTGAGAACACCATTTGTAGTTGTTTGCTGGATTAATGTATTACACCAAAAACTATTTTATGTTTATACTTGTATAAATTTTAGTTTTCACTAGAATGTTTTATTTAATAAGTTAATTTTGGTACACTATTAAATTACAATGTACCCAAGCAAAAACTACCTTTTGGTTAGAAGTGTATTATTTTGCTGTATTTCGGGGAGGGTTATTTTTGTGCAAAACTATATGAATTCTTTCTTCTCTATATTTCTCTCTCTCTTTCTCTTCTCTCTATCTCCTCGCTCTCATCTCATTACTTTTTGATAATGTATAGTGTAGAAAATGTTCTTGTAAATACAAATATTCCATTCCTCTTTGGAGTGTTTATTGACTTGTGACTGCAGATACATTATAAATGAGATATCTGTGCTTGCAATCTTGTTGAATGTATGAAGCATAGTAAACAATTATTTTTGTACAGTTTTTAAATTTTTACGTCAAACTGACCATCTCCTTTTGGTGGAGAGTAGCACCCTACATAAATCTGCCTTTAGTATTTTTGCATTCTGGACATACACTTTTGTTCTGAAAAGATATATGTATAAATATATATAAACTGTACAGTCTGTAAAGTTTTATAAAATATACAGCTGTGAAATTGGCTAAAATAAAAACTAATATTTCTTAACATTCTTTAACTATTGTTAGATTTTGTGATGTTCTTTCCAACTTGTTTATTTTGAAATTTTGTCACGCCAAAAAACAAACATAAGGAAAACAAAATACAAGTTTGATATTTGAATTGTATTATACAGTCACTGGAAGTAGTAACTGTATATAGTTAAAGGAACACTATTGTCACCTAAATTACTTTAGCTAAATAAAGCAGTTTTAGTGTATAGATCATTCTCCTGCAATTTCACTGTTCAATTCACTGTCATTTAGGAGTTAAATCACTTTGTTTCTGTTTATGCAGCCCTAGCCACACCTCCCCTGGCTATGATTGACAGAGCCTGCATGAAAAAAAAAACTGGTTTCACTTTCAAACAGATGTAATTTACCTTAAATAATTGTATCTCAATCTCTAAATTGATCTTGAATCACATATAAGAGGCTCTTGCAGTGTCTAGCAAGCTATTAAAATAGCAGGGGATAAGAAAATCTTAATTATACAGAACTTGCAATAAAGAAAGCCTAAATAGGGCTCTCTTTACAGGAAGTGTTTATGGAAGGCTGTGCAAGTCACATGCAGGGAGGTGTGACTAGGGTTCATAAACAATGGGATTTAACTCCTAAATGGCAGAGGATTGAGCAGTGAGGCTGCAGGGGCTAGTTCTATACACCAAAACTGCTTTGTTAAGCTAAATTTGTTTAGGTGACTATAGTGTCCCTTTAAAAAAAAAAAAAAACTTCTAACTTTGATCCCCAAAATCTGTTACGCATCTACAACCGCCAAAAAACACTCATGCTAAATAGTTTCTAAATTTTGTACTGAGTTTAGAAATGCCCAGTGTTAACATGTGCTTAGCTTTTTTTTTTTGGAAAGTTATTGGGCTATAAGTTTGCCAGATTGGTAATGTTGTCTTTGAGACCGTATGGTAGCCCAGGAATGAGAATTACCCCCATGATGGCATACCATTTGCAAACGAAGACAACCCGAGATATTGCAAATCAGGTATGTTCAGTCTTTTTTAGTAGCCACTTGGTCACAAACATTGGCCAAAGGTAGCGTTCATACTTGCATTTTTAACACACAAACAAATATAAATGCTAACCAAGTTGGAAAACTGGAATGTGCACCCTCCAAATAAGGTCTTTTAGCCCCCAGAGAACCCGAGACACCTATGGGTGGTATCACTGTACTCAGGAGAGATGTTGCTGAACGCATATTGGCGTGTTGGCAGTAACCGTTAAAGTTCTCAGTACATGTATTCTTAAATTGCTATGTGTGTCAAAAAAATCACCAGTTATTTTAATTGTATTTTTTTATTTGGCATGAAAAGAGTCAAAATACCCCAAGTTTAATACCTTAGATTGTCTTCTTTAAAAAAATAAATTATATATATATATATATATATATATATATAATGTGTGTGTGTAGGGTTATATACCATTTGCAAAAGTAGACAAACCAAGGTACTGCAAATGGGGGTATGTCCAGTCTTTTTTTTCTAGCCTCTTAGTCACAAACACTGGCCAAAATTGGCGTTCAAATTAGTTTTTTGCATTTTTCACACACAAACAAAAATTAACGCTAACTTTTGGCCAGTGTTTGTGACTAAGTGGCTACTAAAAAAGACTGGACATACCCCATTTACAATAATGTAAAATTAAATGTATCATGCTATTTTTGACCCTATACCTTCCCAAAACACCATATAACCTGTACATAATGGGTACTGTTTTACACGTGAGACATCGCTGAATACATATGTGTATTTTATTGCAGTAAAATCAAACCGTATTATGACATTTACAGTTAAAATGTCATGTAAATTTCTTAATTTCTCACATTTTTTTTATATTTTATTCATATTAAATTGTTTCATAGCTAAATATTTGATGTTAAATGAAAGCCCTATTTCTCCTGAATAAAATCATGTATAATAAGTGTGTGTGAAAGAGGTGAATTACTGTTGAACAGACATATAGTCAAATTCCAAGTTTTGTTTATTTTGATCAAAACGTGTACATTTGGCTCAGTCCTTAAGGGGTTAAGAGAGCGGTGAATGAACAAATGCCAGCAGACCTCAATGAACTGAAACAATGTTCCTCCACAACAATGTGAGAGACTGATGAAGTTATATAGAAAACAATTACTTCAAGTTATGCTGGCAAAGGTGGTTCAAAAAGCTACCCCTTAAGGACACATGACATGTGTAACATGTCATGATTCCCTTTTATTCCAGAAGCTTGGTCCTTAAGGGACCACTATAGGCACCCAGGTTAAAGGACCACTATAGGCACCCAGACCACTTCAGCTCAATCAAGTGGTCTGGGTGCCAGGTCCCTCTAGTTTTAACCCCGCAGCTGAAAACATTCACTGAGGGTTAATCCAGCCTCTAGTGGCTGTCTCATTGACGGCCACTTCTGCGATTCTCACTGTGAAAATCACAGTGAGAAGATGCTGGACGTCCATAGGAAAGCATTGCTTTCCTATGGGCAGTATTAAAAGTGCACGTGGCTCTTGCCCGCATGCGCATTCGGATCTGACATTGGCAAGGGGTGGTGTTCCCCAGCACAGAGGGAGCCGGAGAAAGGTAAGTGGCTAAAGGGGGGGGGGGGACCTAATGACCCTACAGTGCCAGGAAAACAGGTTTATTTTCCTTGCACTCTAATGCTCTTTATGGTGTTCTTTTTCACACATGGCTTTTCTATTTTGGCTTTATTTTTGTTAAATCATGACATGGTGTAATTTGTTGTTCATTTGAGGTTGTTTTTACCTCATTTTAAGACCTGCTAGGGAACAGATTATTTATGTCCTGATGTGTAAAACAATAGAATTTAAGAGGGTGTTTTTCCCATGACTTTATATTCTTAATGCTTTAGCGTTTAATTCCTTTCTTCAGATTTCTGCTTTCCAATTGAAATTTTTCTCCTCCTGTGTCATCTTCTTGCAGACTGACTCCTCTTCAACTTCTCATCCAATCCCCTGCTTCTCATAGAAGAAGCATTGTGGACTAGAAGCAAGAGTACTGGGGCGTGGTCTGAGGTCGGAGCTAGCTGGACACGTCCGTGTGAAGCTCTGCTAAGACCACGGGGCCAATAGCTTACAAAAGCCGGGATAATTGACGAAAATCATCCCTGGGAGCGGGGGAGCCACGATGGACAAGCGGGCCCCTAGGAAGCCGCCTAAGGAACAGCTGGAGCAGGGAACCACGGTATCCATGTTCGCGGCTTCCCATGTAATGCGGCTGAGCTCTGAAGAGGGCGGCCGGGACAGCCCGGGAGCTCCTCGCTCTCCTTCGAGCCCGGGGTACTCCTTGTCAGCATTACAGAATGATCCAGCACATAGAATTGTGTAACACAGAGGACTGATAGGTAACGTATACCGGACCTTAGAATGGCCAGACTAACGTACCAAATAATAGTCATGAATAGCCGAGGTCAAGGGATACAGAAAGAGACACGACGATAAGGAAAAGCCAGGAGTCAGGGATGCCAGAAAACAGGAAAGTCAAAAACAATGCCAAAGTCAAATAACCAGAATCAATAACGCGCTCTCGGACAACCACAAGGGAAACCACGACAGGGCACTGAGCAGGATGAGAACTGGGCCTAAATACCCCTCCTCTAGATCTGATAGGCTGTAACCGGCCTTTGACCCCAAAGGCAGTTACCAGGTTCCCATTTGCATAATTGCTGCTCAGCATTAGCCCTTCTGTGGATTTGGTTGCTGCTCGGCACAACTTTTCCTGTGTACAGTAAATGCCATTAACCACATTTTTATAAGCGGATGAATACGTGACACTCCTGAAACGGACACCGTGCACATATTAGCTAAACTTGCAGGAGGCCTCGAGATGTCATCATCAAGTTCTTGTCCTTTCAGACCAAGGAGGCCCTGATGAGACGCGGCAGAGTAGGCCCTATACTCTATAAGGGCGTGGAGCTGGCGTTGTTCACAGATTTAACACCGACTACACTGCAGAGGCGGTGGGAGTGGCGCCCAGTTACAGAACTTCTCCAACAGCACTCAGTCAAGTATGCCTGGGGCCACCCCTTTCATCTGATGGCCTACAAGGACGGGCGTGCCAGGTTCTTGCAACCCGATGGAGATCCGGTGGTTTTCCTGAGGTAGCTGGGGATCCTGGCCCCAGCAGATCTGGTGATACCGACGATGGCGGCCGAGAAGTTGCGCCCCCTCCCATGCGAGTGGTACACAGTGGGTGAGTGAAGCCTGCGGGCGTCAGCCCCCAAATGGTCGCTGACAGTCTTTGGTCAGTGGATGCGGGGAATTGTGGGCCTAATGACTCTGTTTGGGTGGGAGGCCACTGGGACTTCGGCCCATCGGGGGGTGCTTTCAAGTGTTATACCTGTGACCCTGGTTTGCGGGGCCTCATGTTGGTCCGCGCCCGGTCTCAGGTGGGTGATCCCTGTGTATTGGGCGGGCTAGGGCTTTTTTCTTGTTTTTGAGGGGTGGTGTGAGTTTCGGGGCGAGAGAGCCGACGGATGGCGCCTTCTCTCTCAGGGGTTGCATCGGCACGGTGCGACGGCTGGACATGGTGGGGATCGCCCATGGGAGACTGATAACTCTGCTTATGTTAGCGCAGTTGCGGGGGGCGGCGGGGGAGGAGGCCTTTTTAGCCTCACAATTGGGTGTTTTTTAGGGTTCTATATTTTTTGTATTATCACAGTCAATGTTGTATAATTCTCAATTTCACCACTAATGTCCCTAGTGGGGTTATTCCCTGTGCGGTTGGGTACGATAGATGCCGAGGAGGGGCAGAGGGCAATATTTTCCCTTAGCATACTGCCTTTGTGTATTGTAACCATCAATGTTATATATCTATCGCTATTACTATTGATGTCCCGGATGGGGTGATACCCTTTTCAGTTAGATGTGGTGGGGGGCAGGGGGCAGCGGGGCAGGTAGCCTTTATAGCTTTACAAAATGCAATATTTGCCCTTAGCATACCACCTTTGTGTATTGTTACCATCAATGTCATATCTATCGCTATTACTACTGATGTCCCGGATGGGGTGATACCCTTTTCGGTAAGATGTGATGGGTCCCATGGGAGGCGGTGGGCGGCAGGGGAAGTGACCCTACAATCTGCACTACTCATCCTCAACATGCTATTTTTTGTGTTAAAACTGCTCATGTTATATAATTATCACTATCGTTACTCAGGTCTCTAGTGGGGTTGTTCCCTTGGTAGAGTTGTTCTCTTTGTGGGGTTGTTCCCCCCCCTCCCCTGTCTGCATCTTCGTCACTAGGCGGTCGGCTACATAATATAGAACCGTCAACTAGATGGTACGGTGAATGGTACCGTGTTGGTTTATTTACTTCCAAAGCAAAACCAATGCTGGTTCCTCCCACACTTGGCCTGGCACGCAGAGCTGCACACTCTCTTGGAGTGCCATCTTGCCCCCGCTGTGGGTACGGGATCGTTCTCTTGGCCGTTGGCGCCCCCTGTTGTGGGGCAGGAGGAAGATATCCCTAGTTCAAATGTTCGTTCAAATATTCATGGAGTATAGCAGCTACACAGTTAAAATTTGCATATTATCCCATAAAATTCTCAAGTTGGCACACTTGTGGTGCGTTTACCATTGGTCTATGTCTCTGTTACCCTGGAGCTTCGTTGATGTCCTGGGGAAGCTGGGACATACGCCCCGTTTAAGCCTGGCTATAGATAAGAACAGGCAAAAGTTGTATATACTGTGCTGTTACCTTTGTTCTCTATACTTCTCTTCTTTTTCTTTCTCCCTTCCCTTCTCTACACTTCCCTGTTCCTTTTTCCCCTCGGGAGGGGGATTGAGGGAGTTCTGGGGTATGGACTGGCTGCACACTGATCACGGGGGCTCACCCTCACAATCAGTGAGTGTATGAATACGAGATGCATGTGGGATGCCGACTCAGGGTGGGTGGATATGTCAGGCACAATATAACCCCTTAGTATTATCATGCCTCTGAAACTAATATCATTAAATGTTAAGGGACTGAATGCCCCGAAAAAACGCTGCCTCATGTTCAGGGAAATTAAACGCTTAGATCCTGACATAGCATTCCTGCAGGAGACACATTTACAGGTGTAGGCGAGATTTGCCCTAAAAGCCACACCTTTCGTACTGCATACGAGTCTAGAGCTCTCAACAACAGGAATGGGGTAGCTGTGTTTCTGCATCACAGATGCCCACTCAAGGTAGGGACCGTAAAAGTGGACCCGGAGGGTCAGTTCGTGCTGGTGTCAGGGACTCTTTTATTCACATTCAATACATATTCGGAATCTATATGCTCCAAATGACCCATCCATTGCCTTGTGGGACGCAGTGGAACGGATGGTGCTTACTCTGCCGCATGGCATGATGATCATGGGATGTGACAAATGCTGCACCATGTCCCGCTGTGGATAGGGGTCCCTGTGGGGGGTTACGAAGCGGTGATCCGGGGAGTACTGGTTCGTGAAGCCACCTTGAAAAAAAAAATGTGAGGTGAAATTATTGTCATCTCTCTTAGAGTCCCTGAGGAAAGCAGAACAAAAACATAAGACCGATGCGATGCATCTGCTTGTACATTGGCGGAGGTGCGGGCCCTGCGGACGTCTACGCGAAACACTCCTTGATGAAACGGCCAGAGCAATTGTATGGTCCAAGAGAACCTATAATGAAAAATATAATAAAATGGACACGCTCTTGGCCAGATTGCTTCGTCTGCGGCAGAGGAACACCCATATCACGAAGATTAAGGATTAATCTGGTAGATACCAAACGGATCCCACCAACATCGCTCAAGTTTTCACTGATTATTATACCAAACTATATAATCACTCTTGTCAAGACACTGACGGCCTACCCAGGGAATTGACTGACACCCGTGCTTTTCTATCTCAGCTGTCCCTCCCTAGATTGTCGGATGCCGACTCAGATAACCTACGACAACGGATCTCGACAGTAGAGATCGATGTGGCTATATCCTCATTGAAAGGCAACAAAGCCCCGGGCCCTGATGGCTTTTAGGGTGGCTATTATAAGACATTCCGTGAGGAACTCACTCCTCATTTGCAGACATGGCTTAACGACCTCATGGACAGAGGCACGCCAGATAGAGACATGTCACTAGCAGACATCGTCTTGCTGAAACCCGGTAAGGATGACTCAGCAACTTTTGTCCGATATCTCTAATTAGCCATGACTCCAAGATTTTGGCGAAAATACTTGCTAACAGATTAAACCTGCTTCTGACACGCTTAGTCCACCCGGATCAGGTGGGTTTTGTGCCTGGTAGACAATTGTTTGAAAACACTCGATGTAATATCAAACTTATCTTGAGACAGGCCACTAGGGGGCCCCTACCTTGATTCTGTCACTAGACGCCGAGAAGGCCTTTGACAGGGTCAAGTGGCCTTATTTATTTGAAGTGCTGGCGCATTTCAGCCTTCCTAATCCATTCATCACCGCAAATTCGCGCCATGTACTCTAATGTGCAATCAAGGGTCCGGATCTCTGGAGTGAAAATAGTGCCGTTTCGTTTAGGTAACGGTACTAGACAGGGATGTCCTTTGTCAACCCTGTTATCTCTAGAGCCCCTCTTACAAAAGATACACAACAAATCAGATTTGAAGGGAATTAAGGTGGGGGACAACAGTACGTGGTATCCGGATTTGCGGACGATATCCTGCTGATGCTGACTGAGCCGAAAACCTCCATGGCGGCTCTAAGGAGGAGAGGCGGTGGGTAGATTTAGAATCCTCAATTCTGGAGTCCAACATCCCGCAATTCTATATGTGGGTCCCGAAGGAACATAGACCATCTATTCATGTTGCTTGCCCAGCTATTACTAACTCTCTGAAAATATGGGACGCCACATCATAAAATATAAAATATAGTCTATCCTCTTTCCCTTCCCCCCTTACTCGAGGAACTCATCATTCCTCCCAGGGATGGATGCAAGAGATTTTCGGAGTATTGAAACCGCAGGCTTACAGCATTTCTACCATCTCTATGAAGGCGGTTCCTTTATATCATATGAGGAATTGAAAGACAGGGCTCCGCTGCGTCCCCATGATTTTTTCCGCTACCTCCAATTGAGGGATTATGCCCAAGCTCCCGCAATTAAAAAAGCTGCGCTAACACAACTTACTTTTTTTGAAAAGATGTGTAT